GATGCATTTCTTGTATGTAACATGCTCATAAAGCTATTGTTTCTTTCTCAAAGTTTTATTTATTTTGTAAATTAATCAATTGATTGTTAAATGAGTTTATATTTGGATACCCCTATCAGGTATTGCGACCATCATGCACCCACCACCAAATTACCCAGGGTCCACCACCATAGTCCATTGTGCTAACTTAACTCTTTTGCCTCAGTTGTGCCATCAGTCCAATGGGGAGAAATACCTGTCTCAAAGGGTGGCTCTGAGACAAAGTGCAGTAATGCATGTCAGTTACTAGGAAACATGCCTGGCCAGTAGTAATGCTTAGTCATTGTAGGCGACTAGCATACTCAGAGTCCCTAAATGTTTAGGGGAGGGCCTCCCTGGTGGCACAGGTGGTTGAGCGCAGCGCTGTGAATCTGTCCGCAGCCTCTGCAGCGCCGGTTTGATCCCCGCCGGCCTCGGAGCAACCCAAATGGCGAGCAGACCTCTCCTCTCGCCCGCTGCTCCCTTCAGCAGTGTATTTCGTCAGTCTGCCTGTTCTGTTCCCCGCTCTGTCTCTGGTGAATCCTCTCACCCTCCTGCGCATCTGGCCTGTACCCCGGTTCTTGTATCAATAATTAAAATCTTAAAAAAAAATGTTTAGGGGAAAAGAATTCGAACATTGGAATTCCTGTTTAGACTATGCACACTCACGTAGGACTGAGTTACCTGGTCACAGTTTTATACGCATGACCTGAATAATTGTGTTTTATAACACCCCTTGAAAAGTGGGGAGGGTAATAGTACCCCTCCTCTAATGAGTTAATATGTGTAAAAACGCCCAGAACTTATTACTCAAAAATTGTAGGTGGTGGTGGTTGTTGTTATCACCTTGGTTATTCTGCACAATGATGACAGGAAGAAAGGAAAGCAGAGCACAGCTTCTCGTCCAAATTTCCCAGGGGACTTTCTTTGCCACTGACGTCAGCCATGGTGTTCCCAGGGAATGGGGCTATCCCGACCTCAAAAAGCAAATTGGGACGTGTTTCCTTTTTCTCTGTTCTCTGTAAGAGCCTGTGTAAGATGGGTATTATGATTTTTTCTAAGTGCCTGGTCATTTCCACTAAATCAACAGGCCTTTGTGGTTTTGGCAGGAAGGTTTTTAACGACTGACTCAGTTTCTTTAAGACACTGAAATAGCCAGCTTTTCTTTTTCTGAGAGTTGAGTAAGTTGTTTTTGAAGAAATGCTGCTATTCCTCTAACTTATCAAATGTCTTGGTATAAAGTTGTTGCTACTATTCTTTTACAAGCATTTCACAAACTTCTGGAACAGTAGAGGGCTCTGAGCATTCTCCTGTGTCAACAGGCTCTGTTCCACGTGGGTGTGTGTGTGTTTGTGCGCGTGTGTGGTGGGGACACACCCATGTGTGGCACCATTAAACATTTAAGCATATAATAGAGCTTTCCTGAGAGTGACACTCGAAGATCGTTGCTGAGAGGAACTGTCCTTTTGAAGCCATCACATCTGCAGTCATATCTTTTTTTTCCTTGTCATGGGTTAAGTTCTGATCTTTGAGTGCCACTCTCAGCAAAGCTGTATTATTTGCTTAAATGTTTAACTTTGGTGTTATTCATGAATATAACCCACATACAGATGAGTGTGCACACACACTTAGACACATGCACACACACAGATGTACATGCATGCCTGAACAGTTCCTGCTGAAAGAGGCCCGTCCTCTGCTGGTCTGGAAAGGTGCCCTCAGGTCGAAAAGACAAATGCCCAAATGCCCACTGACAACGGGAGGGTGTGAGCTGAGAGCTCTGTAAAAGGCTTCTTTCACTAGGATCTAGGTAAACTGGCTCCTGCGCGAAGTATTTCTTGCTCTTCTCCTTTGTCCTCGAAGCTGCCTTAGTGACTGTGCCCTACGTGCTCCTGGCTCGGCGCCACACCGACCATAGGGCATTTTGCTCTATGCGGCGCTGATTGGATTCTGGCTCCTCCTCCCCGCCCCCACCTTGAGCTCCTGCGGGAAGGTGTCCCCTTTTCATCTCTCTATCCTAAACACCCAGCTGCGTCCTAGTGAAGAGTGAGGTCGTAAACCCTTCCTTCATTCACCCATTCTGCACAGACCCCAAGCTCCTACAATATGTTGGGCAATATGCTAGGTGCTGAGGATGCAGAAATGAATGAGACGAAATAAACAGGGGCCCCCTATGGAACTCTGGTTCCACACAGGGGAACAGTAAGCTAATAAATAATTTTGAATGTATGAACCAAAAGTTGCAGTTTGGCGGCCTACCCTCCCAGTTCTGATCCGAGAGTGTCTCTCCCAGGAAAACTCTATTATTTGCTTAGAGATTTAACTTTGGTGCCATTCATGCCATTAGCGTGGGCCAGGAGTCATGTTTGCTGAGTGGGTGGATGCATGGATGATAGTCTGTGTCATCATAGATGATAGAAGTGAGCATTTTCTCTGAACTGCAGACACTTGCATTAGTTCTTCTACATTGTGAGTGCCTACTCTGTGCCCTCACACTATATGCCCTGTCCTCCTGGAATCTGCATTTTGTGTGGGTGGGGAAGCGGGGGGATCACTAAGCTATCAAATCTACCTTCAGGTGGTATGATGGGTCATTTTATGTGTCAACTTGACAGGGCAAAGGGATGCCCAGATGACGGTTGAAACATCATTTCTGGGGGGGTGTGTGTGTGTGTTTGTGTGTGTGGCTGTCTCTGGAAGAGGTCACATTTGAATCAGCAGGCCGAGGAGGAAGATCCCTGCCTAGTGTGGGCATCCTGCAATCACTGAGGGCTAGAGTAGAACAAAAAAGGGAGGAAGAGCAAATCCCTCTTTTTCTGCTTTGATCTGAGGCATCCTTCTTCTTCTGTCCAGCACACACCCCTGGTTCTTGGGCTTTCAAACTCAGGTTAGGAGTTACACCAGCAGCCCCTTGACTCTCAGACCTTTGGACTTGAACTGAATTTCCCCACCAGCTTTCCTGGACCTCCAGCGTGCAGATGCCAAGTCACGGGACTGGTTGGCCTTCAAAACTGTGTGAGCCAATCCTGAAATAGATCTCTCATGTGTGTCTACACATATCCTCTGGTTCTGTTTCTCTGGAGAAAGCGGAATGCGGGTGGTGACTGGTTACTTGAAAAGGGAAGCAGGGAGAGGAGATGGAGACACCTCACCTCTGCTGTGTCTGCTGTCAGGATTCAGGCTTCTGCTTTAAACCTGGTTCTATCACTCAGAAGCTGTGTGTCTTCGGGAAAGCTACTTTGCTTCTCTGTGCTGTAGAAATAGTCTTCAGCTGATGTTTGGGTCTCTCTGCAGACCACAGGTTCCCAGGCCTACCCACGGTCAAATACATTCTGAGCCTTTGGATGCTTTGGGCCTCCAGGGAGTTCCTGAAATCCTGCTGGCAGAGTGTGGGGATTCCAGGAGCTTCTGTAAGCAGGTGCTGTTTACTGTCCCACCACTTTCCCACATCTCTGTTTGCTGTACTGGGAGTACTGGGATGGCAAACTCTGTTTGCCTCCATGGAGCCCTCAGATGATGCCCTTTGGTTTGAAGTACCCACTGAGGCTACAAGTGTCTTTTCCATAAAGCATCCAGATGTAGGAACTCAGCTGCCTGTATGTTTATTTACTTTGATGATTAAGACAAAAGGGAAATATATGTCAGATTTGCATTTCCCTGATGATTAGTGATGGGGAACATCTTTTCGTGAGCACTCAACAAGCTACTAACAGAAGGAAACTACCTCAACATAACAATTTATTTCATGGGACCCTGAATTGCTAAAACACACTTGAAAAAGAAGAACAAAGCTGGAGGGCTCATCTTTCTTGATTTCAAATTGCATTTGGGTTTAGAGAAATTGGAGGTGGGTGAAAGCAGAGAGGGAGGTAAACTTTGAAAATCAAAAGTAATTTTTCCTGCCAATATTGCATAAAACTTTTCAATCAAGACCTGTATTTGGAAGAAAATGTAATTAATAACCATTTTAATAATAAAAGCCAAATTTTTCTATTAAAAAAAGCTTACCGCAAATTTACAATAATCAAAAAAAGGGTGATACTGGCCTATAAACAGACATATAGACCAATGGACCAAAATAGAAAGTACAGAAGTAAACCCTCACCCCTTTGGTCATGACTTTTGACAACAATGCCAAGACTATTCAGTGGGGGAAAGACAGTCTCTTTGCCAAACGATGTGCTGGGAAAATTGGATAGCCACTTGCAAAAGATTGAAGTTGGACCCTTTTCTAATAGCACTACAAAAATTAACGCAAAGTGGATCCATGACCTAAGTGTAAGACTTAAAACTATGTGAAAAATCTTAGAAGAAAACCATAAACAAAAGCTTCAGGACACTGGATTTGGCAATGATTTCTTGGTTATGACACCAAGGTACAGGCAACAGAAGACAAAATAGACAAGTAGGGAAATGGGATTTGTTGCACAGAAATTCCCTCTGCAGGAGGCCTTTTTTTTTTTAAAGATTTATTTACTTATGCATACAAGAGCTGGGGTGCAGGCCAGAGGTGTGGGGAGTGAGAGGATTCACCAGAGACAGAGTGGGGAACAGAACAGGCAGATCGACCAAAGTACACTGCTGAGGGGAGCAGCGGGCGAGACAGGAGAGGTCTGCTGCGCTATGTGGGTTGCTCCCTGGCCGGCTGGGGATCGAACTCGTGCTGCAGAGGCTGCGGGAAGCTTCACAGGCTGTGTCTTAACCCCTTGCGCCACCAGGGAGGCCCTGCAGGAGACTTTTGATAAGCCTGTAAATGTCATGAGTGAATGTGAGCACCAAGACAAAAGCTAAAGCACTCGGGAAATGGAAATTTTCCAAGGCGGGGTGTGTTAAGCAGAGATTCAGGGTCTGTTTTCAAGGTATGTAAATGAATGTGTGTGTCTGACATTGTCTCCCCATCAAAGACAACCCCACTTGGCCCTTTTCTCCCCCTGCCACTCCGAGCTCCCCTGACCCTCCTGAGTCTGCATCTTCCCCTGCAGGAAGGTCGCTGCCTGTTTGTCATCCTGCTCATGGCTGTGTACTGGTGCTCCGAGGCGCTGCCCCTCTCAGTGACGGCCCTGCTGCCCATCATTCTCTTCCCCTTCCTGGGCATCCTGCCCTCCCACAAGGTCTGTCCCCAGTACTTCCTGGACACCAACTTCCTCTTTCTCAGCGGCCTGATCATGGCCAGTGCCATTGAGGAGTGGAACCTGCACCGGAGAATTGCCCTGAAGATTCTGATGCTTGTCGGGGTCCAGCCAGCCAGGTAAGGCCAGGTACCAGGTCCAGCTCCAAAGTGGGGAGGCAAAGGCATCAAGTCTCTTGGGGCCCCCAACCAACTCTTCTTGCCCTTGTTACCAAGCAAAGGTTCACTGCCTTAAGTACACAGAAGCCAATGCTACAGCCCACCAGCTTTCGAGAAAAGAAGGAGATTTATGGAAGTGTCAACCAGGAGGAAGACAGGAGGCAAGGCTCATATCTGGTTTTGCCTCTCTGAGGCTAAGATCTGTTTTATAGGGGTATAGGGAGGAGGAAAAAAGGCTAGGGATGGCATGGCAAAGTTTGATTGATTAGACATGAATTAGATCTTCCTTGTGAATGAATCCTTCCTTTTTACAAGGTGTCATTGCCAGTTACGCATGCTTATCTTGCAGCTTTGCTTAGTTGTATCTGTGGAGAACTTGTAGTTTAGCTGCATCTGTGGACAACAAGCCTCAAAAGGGAAATTCCATAAGTTGAATTACAGCAGCTGTTGTGTGGTGTGATGGTCTGAGGGCAGGTTGACATTGGCGTCAGTTTGGTCATCCAAGCTGACAAACTCAGCATGTCCTGAAATCTGCTCAGTTATTCATCCCTCAAATATTTAGTGCTTCCACTCTGTGTGCCAGACACAGTGCTAGGCTCTCAGGCAGTTCTCAAAAGTGCATAAGAATCACCTGGAAAGTTGATTGGAATTCCTGGGGCCCCACCCTTAGGGGTTCATGTCCAGGAGTTTTTTTTGGTGGGGTGATATTAGCTGTATGACTCATAGTGTTGAAGGCTGAATCCTAAATGGCATGCTCTGGAAAATAACTTAACCTCTTTCTGTCTGTACCATAAAGATATAATATCTTAAACCATGCAGCAAATGCTGGGGGAGCAGATGAGGAGGGAGTAACTGGATGCAGTGCCACTAGGAGACTGTTCTCAGTGTTCAGATAAGAGCTGATGATAGCTTGGATGAGAGCAAGAGCAGTGGAGACAGAATGGGGAGATCTGAGGGCTCCTTTGAGGTGGGGTAGGGATGGTGGTGAGGAAGAAGAGGCCGTGCATAACTCCTAGGTTTCTAGCATCTACTCTATGCCAAGCACTCATCTAGACTCCAGATGAGTTTCCCCATGGAGGAGCCAACCATCCTGTGGGAGAGATTACATCTATATAACTGATTCTAATGCAAAGTAGAATTTGACACTCCAGGGGCATGTGTGGTGTGTGAGCCCACAGGAGAAGGAGGAGGTGACTTCATGGGGTGAGACATTTGAAAAATGGGTGAGACTTGTTGCCCATTTGCATATGGATCAGACATATTATAAAGTTACAACAATGAAAACTGTATGGCACTAGTTCAGAAATGGATTTTTGAAGAAATCTAAATCAGGGAAAGGGAATAGTGGTAGGTGTCAGAATAGTTGACTTACTCTTTTTGAAAAAAAAATTACTGAGATCTAATTTTCTTATTTCCTACTTACACATTTAAATAAATTCCAGGTGGATTAAGGGTTTAATGCAAAGCAAAAAGATCATGAACCTCATGTTCCTGCTGGTGGGTGGGACCAGGCAGAAGGTCTGGGTATGCCTGAGTGTCCTTCTGAAGTTCAAGGGAGTCTGGAAAGAGTGTCTGGTGGAAGTGGGCAAGCAAGTAGGGGAGGAGCCTGGGAGGGCCACTTGGGGTGAAGAGGTGGACTGTCTTGGTGCCAAATCAAGGCAATTTTATCCTGCTGCAGGAGTCATCAAGGCTTTGGGAGTATGAGAGAGAAAATTTTAGAGCTGGTATGTCTTTGGAACTGCTTTGCCTTGGGTACCTGTGGTCAGTTCTCTTAACAATTGAGTGAATGTCTTTAGATCTAAAATAAGCCTAGTGCATGAATTAGTCCCCACTCGGTCAATGGTTTTTCATTTGTGAAAAGAGTGGCCTGGATTCCTCAGTGGTGGTGAATTGGGACCACAGGACTCTGGGGCTCTGCTTCTGCATCTGCCTATCACTCCCTCTGCTCCCAGGCTCATCCTGGGGATGATGGTGACCACCTCCTTCCTGTCAATGTGGCTGAGCAACACTGCCTCCACCGCCATGATGCTGCCCATCGCCAGTGCCATTCTGAAGAGTCTCTTTGGCTCCAAGGAGACTCAGAAGGACCCCAGCAGGGAGAGTGAAGAGCACACAGGTAAGGCTGTGAAAGGGACTGGGGGCCAGCCCCACCAATGTGGAGGAGCAGGGATGTCCAAAGGGGGTGGTGGGCCATGAAGTGCACCCACTACAGGCCAAGTGTTTCGATGATGGTCATGATAACACCTGAGAACTAAGTAAAGCATGGAACCTTGCTTTTTTACAAATGTGCAGATATTGAATGTTTGGTATATATGCTCCGATGAGAGTTAAACCCTTTATATAGTCTTCCCTATCTCTCAAAATAACCATCTAAAGTAGGTGCTAAGATAAAATCTGATTTTAAATCATTTGAAGAGATTGCCAAGATCACTAATACCCAGAGAAATGCAAATTGAAACAACTATGAAATTTACTTCAACAAGGTTGGCCAAAATGAGAAAACTGGATAATGCCTGGTCTTGGCAGGAATGCGGGGGCCGTTGGAGAGAATGTAGACTGGCTCAGCCTTTCTTCAAGGCATCCTGCAAGTCTTTAATCAAATTCAATGTGCATAGACTGGGTTTTGCTCCTGGATGCAAATACCAAAGGAAACCTGACTCAGGCCCATGAGGGGACACGGGTGCTGATGTGCCTGCAGCATTGTGGTGTGGTGCTCGCTGCCAAAGGGTGCACACGCACCCCTGAGACTCACACTGCTTTCAGGATCTCATAATACATAGCTGTGATGGGGGTGGGGGTGCAGAATGAGGCAGCATCCCACACAGTCATGTAAGTTAAAAATACATACAAACGACCAGACATTTCACAAGAACATTAAACCTACCAGAAAGGTCGATCTGGGGAGGGTGGGAGTGGGAAATGGAGGTCAAAGAGACTAAATAAATCAATATGTAAAGCAAGAGGGCCTTGTGCAATAGATAGTGAGAATGGCTGTGGCCCTGCTGTGCCATTTGCTTAGCCCTCTGTGCGCTAAACAAAACACAAGTCAACGAGGCTTGTGACAAGTGAGTAAAGGAAGGCTCAGGGAGCGGAAGTGACTTCCCCAAGTCACACAGCAGGCAAGCGCCTGAGTCCGACTCCGCACCCAGGCTGTCTGCTCCAGAGACCACTGTTTTACCCATGGAATCAGCTGTGTTGGCTGCAGTGACTTGCTTGCAAGTAAAAGAATGCCTTGTCTACAAGTGGCTTGAGGAATCAGAGTTTATTTCCTCAAGTGTATAGAAATCAGAGAAAGGCAGTTCCTTCCATTCAGAGGCACAAAGATGTCAGGGCTTTGCATCGGCATTGCTGTAACTCCCCCCATCTTTGTCTTTTTTTTTTTTTTTTTTTATAAAGAGGCACGTATTTTATTTATTTATTTATTTGTTTGTTTGTTTATCCAAGCACTGGGTACAGTCAGAAGCACGGGAGGGTGAGAGAATTCACCAGAGCCAGAGCAGGGAGCAGAGCAGGCAGGGAGCAGCTGGGGATTGAACTGGCGCCGCAGAGGCCGTGGGGAACTTCACAACCCAGCACTCAACCGCTGCGCCACTGGGGAGGCCTCATCTTTGTCTTTTTTTAATTGGGCTTGCTGGACAAGCCCCCGGGATCCTGCCTTGGAAGGACCTCCGTTTCTTTACCGAGCGCTGCTGCTTGCGCTGCCCCAGAAGTCCAGGGGCCACGTGGGCAGTGGCTTCCCCACACCCCTCCACATCCCCTTCTGGTTAGATCCAACATCTGACCTGGCAGCCCCGCGGGGGTGTCTGTCACCCTGTCCACGTGACACAGGAGGAAGCTGAAGTTCAAAGTGGTGAAATATTTGCTTAATGTCCCTCAGCCAGTAAGTCCTTCCCCCTCTTTTGATTCTAAACTTGATCACCACTATTTCCCTTTATTCTCTGCCGGCAGAAGGCTGGCTGCCACCATTCCTTTAGGAATGTCCAGAAAGCAATTTTTTAGGTTGGGTTAGCATTACCCTTCCTCACGCTTCCTTTCATGTACATTGTTGCGATGCTCACCTAACACAGGAGAGCCTGGCGTCTGAGCGGTGGCTGATAGGCTCTAAAAGCGCTGGGTTTCTAGGAGTTGGGAGAAGCAGGGACTCAGTCCCTACACCTTGATGTGTGGTTTCTTAAGACTCCTAGTAGGAGGGGATTTATTGGCTTGTCGCTTGTCTCCTCCGTGGGACCATGTTAATCTCTTTTGTGGCTGTGGACAACCTACACTGGTGTAGTCTTGTCCACCTGGAATCCTGTTTGAGCACATAGTAGGTGTTCAATAAATGTATGGAATGAATGAGTGGACCAGTCACTTAACTGTTCTAAGCTTCAGTTTCCTCATATATAAAATGGGGGGTATTAATACTGAAATCTGCGTGGTTGGAGTGCTAAATGAATTCATGGCTGTCAATCTGCTTGATGGGGGCCTTTGGCCTTCCTTCAGGTGCTCCATACCTAATTTAATACAAGAACTCTTTCCTCAAGGCCTTCTGTGTGCCCAACTTCAAGTGACACCAGAGAGGTGTGACTCGAGTTAGTGCCCAGGTGGGGGCCTTTGCTCTCCACACTGAGATGGGAAGATACAGATGGTGGGCTATCAGCAGACTGGGAACAAGTTTGAGCCTGCCCCAACCCACCCAGTCACCTTGATCCAGACTGTCACCCATCTCTCTGGGACTCAGTTTCCCCACACATACAGAGGAAGGTCAACCCCCCAGCCTGGCTCTCCCAGACTGTTTCCAGGCTGCTGTAGGGTTACAAATGTGAAAGTTCTCTGTCCCTGCCTGATACAAACTCAGGGACTGGTCTTATTTGAATAAGATCTTATGTAAGCACCAAACTCTCAACCAGCCAGTGATTTCTGGACGTGGCAAAGTCAGAACCTTTGGAGACTTTGCCCCACTGGCCTGTTTTCCCCTGGTCACTTGGGGCACTGTGGTCACAGGAGGCTTGGGGTGGGCCCTCGGTAAACAGTTAAGAACACCCAGCACGTATTTTTTTCAACTTCATGTGCTTTGGCTTTATCATCATCATCATGAGCATAGGAAAAAAAATGCTTAGTATAAAATTTGTTGATATCACCAATCTGCATAAAGAAAAGTGAAAATGCCTCCTTCTGAATTTCATGTGCTATTACAAATTGCTGCGTACAGTAGTGTGTGTGCTTCTGCCCGGTGTCTCGCATGCGCAGCCTCATTGCGGGCTCTCCAGCTCAAATGTTGGCAACAACCAGTTTCCATGGATGAGTAAATAGGGGCCAGGTGGGGACTGTGGCAAACTGGCAAGCACACGGCCCCTCCCGGGGATGGGCAGCCCTGGCCGCTTCAGTTTCCCCATCTGTAGCTTCAGATGATTCTGTTCAATGCTGGTTGCATGAAAGAATCACCTGCAGAACTTTTTAAAAGTACTGAGGCCTGTGCCCACTCCAGAGCCACTAAGCCAGAACCTCTAGGGTGGAGCTGGGCTCTCCCATGAAATTCTGAGTTCACCCAGGGCTGTGAGTACCCAGCCTTGGGCCATACCTGGATGCTGGTGAGCTTTTGTGGTCATCTGATGCTATGTGACAGGGGTGGCCCAGACCCCTGGGTACAGAGTGAGCTGGAGATGGTCACAGGGGCTGGGGGTCACTGGGTCAGAGTTCTTCCTGTCTGACCACCCCCTGGGGAGTGACTTTGCCCACTGGCACCGGTGTCCTATTAACAGCCTTCACTTCCTGCTCCAATGCCTTGGCCCCGGGTCTCGTGCCTTGCATGTGGACTTGTGCACCACAGGAGCCCTGAGGTCCTCATCCTGGTGGCCCAGGGTGAACCGATCTGACGTTTAGTTTTCAGACCCCTGCTTGTGGTCAGCAGGAATAGCCTCAGGCCCAGGGAAGATGGCAGCCAGCCCCCAAGCACTCCCATGCCTTCGGGGGACCAATAGGGGAGGAGCAGCCAGAATGGAGAGAATGAGAGGGACATTCCCCCGTCCGCTGCTGAGACAGGAAAGAGCTGAGGCTGGGGGTCCAGATTCTTCCTTCCCGCCCATGTGGCTAAAATGCCCAAGAACACACCTGTAGTGCTTTGAGCAGGTTGAGTTTCTTATTCTATTATCATGGTGGCGGTGAGAGAGTGCACACACCCTGGGCAGCCTCAGTTGTCCAGGTGAGAGGGTGCCAGAAAGGACCTATGGCAGGATTTGGGCTGGGGTGGGCTCCCGGGGAGGGAGGGCAACAGAAGCAGGGTTTGCTCTAGGTTAGTGTGTCGAAAACCCAGGCCGTTCTAAGATTAGGTAAAGAAGTAGACATCCACTTAGCAAGGGCAGGTGGTTGTGCCTGGCAGGTAACTTTGTGCTTAGACAACACTAGGAGCCCCACAAGGATGTCCTTGCTTCCTTTACCATCTCAGAGCAACTTTGCCTGAGGCGTAAGATTATTTAGGTCTAACGAGAGAGCAACATGTGGGTCAGGCCAGGTACAGACGTCCAGGGCCCCTTTATTATTCTTTTCAAGAGAAAGCCATATTTATTATATCCTTGCGAGTACTCAGCTTCCTGCTAAATTATCTAAATCAGGGGCTGACAAACCGGCTCATCAAGTTCAGGCTGCAGCCTCTGAGCTAAGAATAGTTTTTATCTTTTTAAATGGTAGAAGAATATTCTGTGACATGTAGAAATTATATGAAATTCCACTTCACTGTCCAACAGCAAAGGTTCAGCTGCACCTGTTTGCTTACGTGTGTCTGTGGCTGCTGTCGTGAGCTCATGGTAGAGCTCAGTCATTGCGACAGAGACTATATCCCCCCCAAGCCTAAAATCTTTACTCGCTGACCTTTTCCAGAGGCTTCTCAGTCCCTGCATTCAATATACCACTCCAGTCAGGCAGCTATAACAAAAACACCATCAGCTGCATGACTTAAGGGGCTAGCATCTGTCAGTTGTGGTTCTGGAACCAGGGAGTTGAAGACCACAGCATGGGGATTCTGGTCTCCTTCCTGTGTCCTCACTTGGCAGAAGAGGCAAGGGGAGCTCGCTGAGGCCTCTTTTAAAAGGGCACTCATCTCATTCATAAGCCCTCTGCTCTCATGACCTAATCACTTCCCAGTGACCCCACACCCCCAATACCAGCTCGTGGGGGGTTAGCTTTCAACATGTGGATTTGGAGGGGATGTAAACATTCAATCTATAACAAATGAACTCACTTTTTAATCCTCTTGACAACCCTAGGAGGATTGTTGCTTTCCCTTTATGAATTAAAGAACTGCAGTACCAGGAGATTAAGGGATTTATGTGAACAAAGGATTTGTCTAAACCAAGCAAAGTCAGTACTACTGATATTTTGGGTAGGATGATTCTTTGTTGTGGGGACTGACTTATATGTATTATAGGATGTTTCGCAGCATCCCTGGCCTCTACCAACTAGATGCCAGTAGTTCCCCTCTTCCAGGCTGATACCCCAAATGTCTCCAGACATTGCCAATGTCCCTTGGAGGTGGAATTGGCCCCAGTTGGGAACCACTGGTCTGAGGTCACATAGTGAGTGGTGACACTATGACCTGAACCTGGAACCCATGTGTGTGGCTGCCAGTCACACCCCAATGCCCAGAGTTGGGTCTTTTCTTCTCGGTGAGGATTTCAGCTGCAGAGACTTTTAATTCCTTCATCTAGTCTTGTCTCCAAATCATTGTCAAAGGCTCCTGGGGAGATTGACTTATCAAGCAAGGGATACTTTTTAAATGAAGTCAGATCCTGTCCTGACTCTCCTCTGCACAAACTCTCCCTTGGCTCCACTTCCATCTGACTCAGAGGAGTCCTCACTGTTAGCCCCAAGATCCCTGCACAATCCAGCCTGCTTCCTGCCACCCCCAGCTTCTGCCACTCCTCTCCCTTCACCTCTTGCTACTCTCCCCGACGCTTCTGCCCCGCCAGGCCCACTGGTGTCCCTTCTGCTTCCTTTCTTACAGCAGACATACTGTGACCTCAGGACATTTGCATCTGCTCTTTATTGTTCCAGATGTTTGACCCACGCCCCCCATTCCAGTTCTCTGTTCAATGTTATCTTCTCAGTCAGACTTGTCCCAACCATCCTTTAAAAGAGGGGTCCCACCCACAACACTGTCCTTCTCCCTGCTTTATTTTTCTCCATGACAGCCCTTTCCATCAGACATGGATATTATGTTTAGAGTGTGTTGCCCCAGCAGAAGAGAAGCCCCACAAGGACATGGATTTTCATTTCTCTTGTCATTCAGCGGCATTATTGATGGACTGACTGGCTGGACTTCTGTGACTGAGCTCTGCGAGTTGCTCCCAGTTGCACCAAGCTCTTATCTCAGAGAAAAACCTGAAACACAACGTCTATACTCTTAGCATCTCTTCAGCTACCAGCCCAGTCCAGCCACCATCATCTTATCTGGAAAATGTGATACATTCTGAACTGGTCTCCTCGATTCCATTTTACCCCCTGTAGGTGCAGAGATGTTTGCACAATGTGGATCAAATGATATTCCTCTTGGGGGCAATATCTGGCAGTGGTTCGCCAGCTTGACTTGACTTCTGTTGACCTCTGCCTACTCCACCCTGCTCCATGTCTCCCCTAGGCCTTCTCTGTTCACTACTCCCCGAACAGCAGCCTTCTTATGGTACCTCACCTGTGCCAGGATTCTTACCCAATCCTTACAAGAATCCTTTTGCAATATTCTTATGCTTATATAAAAGCAAAGACCTTTTCACTTGTTATTCCTGTTGCCAGGAACCCTCTTTCCATGGTCTTCCTGAGACTGGTTCTTTTTACTCGAAGTTGTACATCAAATGCCATCAGCTCTTGTGTCTTCTCTGTTGGCCTGACCACAGTAGGCCACTTGCTTCCCCTCCCCATTCTGCCCCCACTTTCCATTCCATTGCCCAGTTTTATTTCCTTCACTATTCATCACTATCTGACGACTTATCTTTATTTATTTGTTGTCTGTCTCTCCTTCTAGAATATAACCTTAATAGGTTTAGGGATTTTGAATTATATTGTTCACCTTTGTACCCCAAGCTCCTTGTCAATAGCACATGGGTGCTCGGTCCTTTCTTGAAAGAATGAGTGGGAGACCAGGGTCACCCATCTCCTTGCTGGCCCATTACCACTCACCTAGCTTTTCCCAAACATCCTTTGGCAATGACTGCTCAGGGGAGCCTAGGCTTGCTATGAGTTGTCAAGCAGCAACTCTCTGCCCACAGGCCTGGGCCATCTCCAAGCAGGGATGGGAGGGACAAGAAGAGGGAATGTTTTGTGCCTTTTTTTTTCTTGGTTCTGAATAGTGTGGGGTCTTGGCAAGGAGGGGAGCACTCTTGACCGGCTCCACACGATGGGACTCCTGTCCCACGCACATCACACTAAAGACATCATGCTCTTCCCTCCTAGCTGCTGTGCGGAGAAATGGCCTGCACACTGTGCCCACGGAGATGCAGTTTCTTGCCAGCACAGAAGAGTGAGTTCCTGGTGAAAATCATAGAGGAGCCAGTGCTTGTCCAGGAGACGATGAACAAGAAAGCAGAGCTGCAAGCAACCCCTTCCCACCCCAGATTTTTCTCCAAATGACCCAATGTCCAACTTCCCACTATTCATCTCTTTGACTTAGCCTGGACCTCTGCTTCTCCTTTAAACAAATGCATGTATGGAAAAGGCAGGGAGCATGTTAAATCCCTGCAGGCCTAGTGCAGTTGAGGGTCCGAAAGGAAGGCCCCAAAGAGCAGGAGAACACAGACTACATGGCAGAGAGGAGGAAGGGCATGAGCCAGGGCAGGGGGCTCTAAAGACCAAAGTATCCTATGACAACAGCCGTCCTTCCCGCGTGTGTGACTTAGGAAGCATCTCCACACTGACAGCACATTCAGGCTCTGGCGCCCTTTGCATAGGGTGGCGTGGTTAAGACCTTGGGATCTGGAGCGGTGAAGGCCTGACTTTGAACACTCGCTCTGGCGTTTACCTGCTGTGTGATGTGGACGAGTGACTTAACCTCTCTGAGTCTCAGTTTCCCCACCAACTGGACCTGATATTGAAACCCACCTTAGAGGGTTGTTTTGAGATTAAGTGAGATAATGTTGTTCAAGCAAGTTGTTGGCCCCGCATGTGTGGATGGTGGTCCTGCTATTAATGGCATCATGATCTCTATTTAATGGTGATCAAAGGGTAGGCTGTAAAGTGTCTTGGTCAAGGCATTGCTGAGTATCGATCAGGTCTGCTTCATGCATCTGACAAATATTTATAGAGTTTACACTGAGGCATGCGTGGCAGGGGATAGAGCAACAAACAGACAGAACCGCAGCCTAGGGAGCTAGTGTCCCACAGAGGAAAAAACTAGTACAGGAACAAACTCCATAGCATTGTTTATGAGTGCTATTCAAGAGAACAAAGCACAAAGTGGGCCTGAGTAGGGGGTGCTGGGGCTGGGATGGGAGTTTTTAAATGGGCGGCTGGGGAAGACCTGACTAAGAAGGTCAGGCTTGAGCAAACACCTGTGTGAGGTGAGGGGTCTGTACAAAGAGTGTTCTCAGCAGAGGGACCAGCAGGTGCAAAGGTCCTGAGACTTGAAAGCAGCCAGGAGGCCAGTGTGGCTGGAGAGCATATGGTAGGAGGCAGGGTCAGAGAGCGTGTTGTGGGAGAGGGTACCGGTGGAGGGACAGAGCATGAGGGACCTCATGGGACTTCGCTTTGAATGAGAGGGAGCCAACAGAGGGCTTTAGCAGAGGAGAGAGGTGATCGGCTGACTCTGCCGGTACAGAGCTGGCTGGGTCTATGGAAAAGACCCAGTCCCCACTCTCTGGATCTCCATGTTCCTTGGATACAAACCCCATCTGCTATCTGGGCCTCAGTTTCCCCGTCTGAGCAAAAAAGAGATTATGTTAGAGGGGTCTTTTCTGCTCTCTCGTCCTTATTGTAAGCTCAGTCTGGTTAGTTCCCCAGGTCTGAGTGCAGACACGGTTTCCGACCAGGGCCTCTCCCCTGACTCTGCCTCTGGCCGTGACACTGATCTCCAGCTGCTTCCAGATGCCAGGTCACATCAGGCATTGCCCTCTGGACGGGAGCTTCTATAGTCATAAAGGCCAGAGATGTTTGGGGAATCTTTCATTCTTTAAAAATATTTTTGTTTTGTTTTGTTATACAGGAGCAATTCTTCATTTCATCCACTTATAAATATTTTATAATTGCATAAGTCAAAAAAAAAACTTTTAAAAAGAAAAATGTACTTAGCCTATTACGCCCAAAGATAGATTAAAACAGGTGAATACCATTCTAATTATTTTTTGATATCTCTCTATATACTTTCATGCCTTTGTAAAATAAAAACCATAGATAAGTCCACATATGTGAGCTCGCTAAGCAGAGTATAGTGCAGACGTTTCACCTCAATAAATTTATGTCAGCATCATTATCTTTTAATTCTACAGCTATTCAAGGAAAACCACCAGAAAAATACAAATAATAACAATGAAAAAAATCCATAATTCCACCCCTGAGTAAAACACCATAGAGCTTTGTATATACCATTCTAGATTTTTCTTCATACTCATAGTCATAACATATGTGAATATTTTTAAAATTAAAAAACTAGTGCTGTGACTTACCTTCCTGCTTTATATAGTGGACATCTTCATCTTCATCAGTAGCTGTTTAAACCATCCTTTTAAAATATCTGTATTGGCGGTCCAGCCAGAAAGAGGGTCGTCTTTTTTAGCAAATCCCTTTTTAAAGGAGATTTAAGTTGTTGATTTAATTTATATTGACTGCCATGGTGAACTCTCTGTGCCCAACACCAGGGGCTTTTACCCGAGTATTTCTTTAGGGTAAATTCTTAGAGTAGAACATCTGTACTGAAGGGCTGAACGTCTTCAGAGGTTCTTCATGCCTGTGCCAAGTTGCCTTCTAGAAAGACCACTTAGCCCTCCCAACACAAACTGTATTTGCATGCAAAACCAGGAATTCCAAGTGTGTTCTCAACAGCTTCTGTTTGGGTTTGTTTAAAGCAAAGACTGTCCCGAGGAGGTGGAAGCGCCTTTGGATCTTCCAGCTGACTCTAAGAAGGAGGAGGAATATCGCAGCAACATCTGGAAGGGCTTCCTCATCTCCATCCCCTACTCTGCCAGCATCGGGGGCACCGCCACCCTCACGGGCACAGCCCCCAACCTCATCCTGCTTGGCCAGCTCAAGAGGTAAAAAGCACATGTCCCCCGCCTGGCTGGAGTTTCTGCTCCTTCACTCCTCTTGCCCTTCTTCACTCAGCAACCAGGACATGTGTATCCAGTGCCTCCTGCTGGCTCTGGGGACTCAGCGGTGCAAGTCCCTGCCCCGGGGGAACCTCCATTCTGCTGGGGGGACACCCAAGAAACAAATGAAAACAAAAAGCAAATGAATATATGATATGGTCTTCCAATAGTTATGAAATAAAATAAAGCAGAATAAAGTGGTAGACGTGGCAAGGGTGGGTGCTATTGTATGATTATAAGCTGGTCAGGGATGCACAGCCTCTGATGTGTGATATTTGAGCAGAGTGAAGGGCTCTGTGGTCTCAGCAGGGAGGAGCTTTCCAGACTGGGAACAGCTGTCCCAAGGGTGGAAACCGCCAAGACTGGAGCACAGCAGAAGGCAAGGGCAGTGTGGGAGGAGGTGAGGTAAGGAGACCCCGAGGAAGGCCACCTCTGTGAGGTCCCAGCCTTCCCTTCAACTGAAATAGGGAGTCGGCTTCCCCGTTCTGGTGTGAGCACTGCTTTGTTTCAACTCGCAAAGAGATTAGGGGGAAAGCGCAGGAGCTGTAAGTAAAAAGATGGGATAGGTAGGATTTTGAATGCACATGCAAATCACATGCAAATCACATGCAATGTTTGATTGCACAAGCTTGGACAGTCCAGAGGGGATTAAAAGTCATGCCAAGTAATTGGGGGGCTTCTGATTCTCCAGCCGATTCAGGGGGTCAGGGAAATGACTGCCCTGAGTCCCCGCGGCCTTGTTTCCCAAATAGATTTTACTAGTTTATTGTGATTATCCATGATACAGGCACATACAGAACACTCAGGAAATACAGAAAAAAGTTTAAAATGTGGAATCTCTTCAGTCCCACAGTTAATATTTTCTTCTAGCCTTTTTACAATATATACATATATATTTCATTGTATTGTTATTATACTCTTTATGCCGTTTTACAGCCTTATTTTGTCATTAATTTTTTTTTCCAAAAAAGCATTCTTTTTAATAGTTATAAATTATCCTATTTGGGGTGTCATACTTTATTCATCATAGCCGTTTAGATAATTTGCACTTATTATATCACTGTTATTTTGCTATAATAAATACAGTGACTGGTCATATACCTGCTGATATTTTAATGTTTTTAAAAATATTGTTATTTTGTTTTATTTCTGAAGCTGTGTTTGTTTATTATAGAAAATTTAGAAAATACAGGTAAGAAGTAAATGTGGTTGACACCTTCCGTCTGGAAGACGTCTGAGCAAAGCTGAGGTTGGCGACAGTGGCGGAGAAAGAACCCACAGACATCAGCGCTGTTTGGGGACAGCCTTCAGGGGCTGTGAGAACACAGGGGGAGCAGGGCAGAGGTGGCGATCCACCCACACATGGTCATTTAAAAAATTTAATGGATTGCCGACATTGAACAGCACGTGGTTTCAAATAGCTGTGGCACTCTGGCCCTGCACGCCTGGGTAGTGACCATATGGGAGCAAATAGTAGCTGCTTCTTTCATGGCTGAGGTGGGCCCCCAATTCACCATGGTCCTCACGCTTTCAGGAACCCGTCTGTCCCCAGGGCTCTGAGATTTTGACCATCTCAGTGCAATCCCACTAGATCAGAAGTCCAGGATCCCCCCTGAATGAAGAGAAAAGCGTCTTTTATGAGAAGGGATGAACACTCTGACTCCTGGGGGGTCCCTCTGCCACCCCCCCACCGCCCCACCATGGCTGACTTGACTGCTCTCACCTCCCTCTTCTCTCCAGCTTCTTCCCGCAGTGTGACGTGGTGAATTTCGGCTCCTGGTTCATTTTCGCCTTCCCGCTCATGCTGCTGTTCCTGCTGGTGGGCTGGCTCTGGATCTCCTTCCTGTATGGGGGGATCAGCCTCAGGTAACCTCGGGTTTATCTTGGGGAGTGGCAGGGAAGGGGTCGGGGAGACACAGAAAAGCCTGAGCTCTGGGAAAGACTGAACTGTATTGGGGTCCCTGCTTCCATCTCACCAGGGAGCCGCCGTGCTCAGCCTCCTGCTCCCCGGAGGCTCAGGAGCAGACAGTGGCTCGGACCCCTCAGTGTGTGAGCATCAGGTGGGCCTGCCCCTCCACCACGCCCTCCACTCCTGCGCCATCAGCAGCAATTGCTCTTTCAGTAAGGCGAGCCCTTGTACCGGAGGAGGGGAGAGCACCTTCCCATTTTAAGGGGCCTGGAACAGGAAATAAATTGGGGTGGCCTGAAGACAAGGTATTAAGTCACATGAATCTCACAGTGAGAGAAATATTCCCACATCAACTTTTTCTTTTAGCTGAGGTAACGTTGGTTTACAGCACTGTCTGTGACTCAGGGGGTTAGGGTCACGCCTCGGGTGTGTGTTACCAGGTCACACCTGCCCACAAGCAGCCACCATCCTTTCATAGACCACTGGGCTCCCCACCCAGGCTCCCCTCGAGTAGCCTCCATTCCGCAGTCCCATTTCTAGGGCTTGTTTGGTTTAGTTCAGTCAGTTACCTTTTGGGGGAGCAACTTGAACAACTCTCCGACATTCTAAGATCAACTTTATGTATTAAATAAAAGCACAAAGCACAAACCTGGCGCTTCGGTCAGTGGTGTCTGCACAGCATGGAACAACGCTGCTTTGCTTTCATATATTATTTTATGTTTTCTTTCCATTCATGACAAGTGATTCTCATTTTTCCATTGAAGGAATGATAGGAAGTTTTCTTTCTAAATACATTTTGTAATTAAAATGGTGAGTATATTTGGAGGAAAATATTGAGCATCTATGAGCTGTGTGGCCTATGGGTCTAGGGACGTTTGAGAAGGTAGGTTATGAATGCCTGGAGTTCAGGAAATGCTGAACTAGGGCTGCAGCTGAGGCGGGGTAGCCGGCTTGTCATGCGGTCATTCCCTGACTCAGTCTCCTCATCTCCCTGAGCCTCAGTTTGCTCGTCTGTGGGATGGGACCAGTAGAAACAACTCTGGATCGAAGAGATGTGAAAACACCTTGTGACTAGAAAGGCTCTGGTCCTGTTGTTCCTTGGGGTATTCAACACCCCATGAATGTCCTCACAGCAGCAACTCGGCTACCAGGCCCAGCTTGGCCCAGGGACGCAAACCCAGACTTTGGACTCAGATGGATCAGAGTTCAGGTCGTGATTCCCTGTGATCCTGAGCAGCTCTGCCATCTCCCGGGACTCTCACTTGGTTTACTGGTCGGGGCTAAGAAAAATGAGCTACAGCTGAAGTTGAAGCTAAAAGAGGAAGAATGTGTAAACTGGAAGGTCAGGAGAGCTTCCCTGGGGAAGTGACTTTTGAACTGGGATATGAAGAATGAGTAGACTAATTCAGTAAAGGGGGGCATAAGGAAAATGAAGTAAAAATCAGGCTTTTTTCCGCCCTCCTGCTGCTCATGTGGATGTGGGGCCTGAGGGGCATGGCCGGCAGCCCTGTGATTGTGGACACCTGGGCCCGGGGAGCACGGGAGTGTCCATGTATAAGTGCAGGTTCCTGTGCCAAGAGGTGGGGATAGAGGGCAGTGTCACTCAGAGATGGGACCGCGGCCGAGGGAGGGCTGCTCTGAGGCGAGAACACTAGATAAGAACACCAGAGGGAAAGCCAGAGAAACATTCTTAGCCGGGAGCCGTGCCTGCCCCTGGTGTGCCAGACTCCCTGCCTGGTGTGCCTGTGTACCTGGTTCCCTGAGAGGGCATTAACTCCACTTGGGCTCCAGGACTCTATTTACTCATTTGCCCAAATCCACAGTGAACCTGCCCTGTGCTTGCTTGCAAAACAGGGAATGCTACGGCAGGGCAGGGGGAGGTGGGAGGGAGGAAGAGCAATTCTGGGGAGATGGAGCAGCAAGTGCGAAGGGCCTGAGGTCTTTCTGGATGTTCTGGAACTGGAAGAAAGGTAAGATGACTGAGTTCAGGTTTGAGGGAGAATAGTAGGAGGTCAGGCCAGGGAATGAGACAGGAATTTCCAGCTGGGCCTGAGTTTTGCCCCTATGTGGGGACAGGGCAAATGTCTGAGACACTTGGGTTGTCACCACTGAGGAAGGACTACTGGCATTTAGTGAGGAGAGGGCAGGGATTCCACTAACTGTTCTATAAAGCACAGGACAGCCCCTATGCCAAGAATTATCCCACCTCCCAATAAAGAATGATCCCGCCCCAATATGTCAGAAGTTCCAAGATTGAGAAATCTGAGCTAGGTCACCGAGTGTTTAAGGGAGTTTGATCTTTACATAATAGTCATTGTGAGGTTTTTTTTTTTTTTTTTTTTTTTTAAGATTTTATTTATTTATTTATACAAGCACTGGGCACAGTCAGAAGTGCGGGAGGGTGAGAGAATTCACCAGAGCCAGAGTGGGGAGCAGAACAGGCAGACGATGAAATACACTGTTGAGGGGAGCAGCGGGCGCGGCAGGAGAGGTCTGTCACACCATGTGGGACCCTCACCGGTGACCGGGGATCAAACCAGTGCTGCAGAGGCTACAGGCAGCTTCGCAGCCCAGCGCTCAACCGCTGCGCCACCAGGGGAAGCCCCTGTGAGGTGTTTTTTTTTTTTTTTTCTGAATGTTCATTTGTTTATTTAATTTGGAGAAGTGATATATATCATGGTTAAAAAAATTAAAACACTTTAATCCCAATAAATGTATTTTGCCTTAAAAAAAAAATACAGAGACCTACAATAGGAATTCTCCTTTTTCACCCATGCCTGCATTTGCCTGTTCATTCCATGTCCCAAATGGGGACCCACTTTTATCTATCTTGGGTAATCTACCAGCATCTCCTTATGCAAATGCAAACCAGTGCAGATACAAACATGTTTTCCAGAAATCTGACACGGAAACAGGTATTTTTGTAGGATAAACTATAAAAAGGTAATTTTGTAGGATAAATTTCCATAGGTGCAACTACCGTGTCAGAGAATAAACACATTTTAATTTTAATAGATATGTCAAATTGTCCCCCTTGGGAATTTTACTAATTTACTCTCCCATTTACAGGCTACGAGAATGTCTGTTTCCAGATAGTGAAGTGATTTTTGCTACTCTAATAAGAGAAAAAAAATTGTATTTTATTAAGAACGATTTTTGAGCAACATTTCATATTGAGGAGTAAAATGAAAAGTTTTCGTATATTCTTGGGGGTTGCTGGTATTTCCTTTCTTGCAAGTTGTTTAACTGTGTTTGTGTCCTTTGCATATTTTTTCAAATGGATTGTTGGTCTTTTTGATTTCTAATATTCTTTAGATACTGAAAGATTAGTGCTTCTTCTCAATGTGAGTTTCAGATATTTTTTCATGATTCATGTTTTACTTTGCCCACAGTGCTTTCCACTAGGCAGAAATGCTCAGAAATATTTTATGTAGATGAACTTGTCAATCTGTCCCCATATGGCTTCTGAATTTTCAGTTACAGTTAGAAAAAATTTTCTATTACAGGAGCTATATTTTTAAGATCTCATGTTTTCTCCCAGTATTTTTATGTTTTTTTACAATTAAATCTTTGCTATGCTTGAAATTTATCCTTAGGGTACAGGATGAAGTTTGGATCCAGCTTCATTTTTTGGTTCCAAATGGCCACCCAGCTGTCTCAACACTGTCAACATACAAAAGTCTTTAATTTTGATGAAGTCCAATTTATCTTTAGTTGTATGTGCTTTTGGTAGCATATCTAACAAAGAGTTGCCTAACTCAAGGTCATGAAAAATTTCCCCTATGTTTTCTTATCTCTTATATTCAAATCTTTGGTGCATTGGAGCTCAATTTTATACACTGTAGGAAGTAGGCGCCCACGTTCATTATTTTGCATGTGACTGTCCCATTGTCCTGGCACGATTTGTTGACTCTTCTTTCCCTACTGAATGGTTCTGGTCCCCTTGTCACAATCCACTGATCATCAAAGTCTGGGTTTATTTCTGGACTCTCAAGCCTATTCCTCTGACCTCTGTGTTCAACACCACGAACTGGGTAATCCATTTTTCCCACAACTTTACCATGGACTAAATCTCATTTGTGTTTTGGGTGTATTTCTGGATTTGCTATATTGTTCCATTAATTTGTCTGCTTGAGACCTAAAGGATTTTAAACCTGTGAGTCTTATGATCACATTTACATATTTAGAAGTCCATCCAGTCAGTAGGTGGGGAGAGCAGATTTTAGAATGGGGTCATCAGGCCGCTGCAGTCTACAGAACAGAGATGTGTGGCCTGGCCAGCTGACAGGGGTGGGGAGAAGGCAGTCGTGTACCTGACGCAGGCACTTCTAACCTCCGCACTTTCTATTCCAGGGGCTGGAGGAAGAAGTCTGAGATCAGAACTGATGCAGAAAATAGGGCTCGAGCAGTGATTCGAGAGGAATTCCAGAATCTGGGGCCCATCAAGTGCGTGATATGGGGGTCCTCAGGGTGGGGAGATCAAGGCATTCGATTCTCAGGAGAACTACCCTGGCCTGACTCCTGCGGTCCTGGGGACTGATTCCCACTTCAGGACCAATGGCGTTAGAGCCCAGAGATGGGGGTTAGGTAAGGAGGTGGCTTACATGGTCAGCTTCTTGTTCTGGTGCTGGGGTCCAGAAAGCCCCTCCTCGTCCCCTGATGCACCCCTTCCTCCTCACTGGTTGCCTCATTGGATGCCTGATACTGCCGTGGGCACCTCAGGAGGATCAGTGCACAACATCAGGGATCCTCTCTGTCTACCCTTCTGTCTCCCCCATCAGGGTCTTTCCATCTCTGTATCTATTTAACTGTTTCTCTCCTTGTCCACTTGTTTCTATACAGCTGTTTACTTTCTTTTTGCTTGTCTGACTCTATTTCACCGTTCTTTCTCTCTTGATTCTCCTTAGGACCCTTGCAGCTAAGAATGATATATGGGGGAAGGGGTGCCTTTTGCTCAGAAAGCATCCTGGGGCGAGGGGCATGTGGAAGGAGCCGCTTACACCGCGGGTCACGCCTTCCCTCCTTCTGGAGGCTCTCTGGGGTATGATTACTTTCCCCAGCTTCTCAGAGGAAGGGCCTGTCCCAGTGACACCCAGTGGGCACCTGCAGGGACTTCCCATGCCCATGGTCACCCCCATATTTGTGCCACAGGTTTGCTGAGCAGGCCGTTTTCATCCTTTTCTGCATGTTCGCCATCCTCCTCTTCTCCCGGGACCCGAAGTTCATCCCTGGCTGGGCCAGCTTCTTCACCCCTGGGTGAGACTCTGGGGATCCGGGGGACAGAGGCCAGTGGGGCAGGTGCTGGGGGTCCAGCTAGCACCGGGGAGCCAGCCAGCTGGGGAGACTTGGGAGGGTTTACAACTCTTGTCCCAAGTAATTAGTAACAGCTGCTGCTTCTACTCTCAATATAATTTAGGCTTGGATGATAAAATATTTGGTTCCTCATGTGTCCGGAGCTTTGGCTTTGGACAAAACTGCGTTTGATTCCAGCTCTGCCACTCCCACGCTGTGCGACCCAGAGCCAATCATCCATTCACTTGGTCCATCCATCGACACTGAGAGCCTGTGATGTGCTAAGCGTGATGCTAGATGCTGGGGCACAGACACACACAAGTGGTTAGACAACCAAATTACTGCGGCTTGTAATGAGTGCAATGAAATAAGGAGTGAGAGCGCCTTATTGAAGAATGGAGTGAGGGGTAGATTTGGGATCGTTCAGGAAAGAACCAAGGCTAGGAAGAGGAGAGGTAAAAGCTGGAGACTCCTGGGAATGTCTGCTGAAAGCCTGGGTAGGAACCTCCTTGGCACATCTGAAGAATTGAAGGGAGTGGATCCTTCAGGTATAGTGGGTTATGCAGAGGAGGTATCAGGTTGCAAAGATCAATCTGGAAATCATGTAAATTTGGAATTTAAATCCCTAAAAATCAGTGGGTCCACCCATAAGAAGGCTCTAAGCATCCCAGTACTTAGGAGCTTGGTGGAGGAAAAATAGAGAAGAAACCATCATTGGGAAAGCCTGGAGCAATGGACTAGCAAAGTGCAAGAGAAGGGGTGCCTCAGGAAGGGTGAGGGGGCAACCGTGGCAGGCACCATCCCGCAGAGAGATAACATGAGCCACATCTGTAATTTTAAACTTTCTTCTTTTTTAAAAAAAGATTTATTTACTTATGCATACAAGAGCTGGGGTACAGGCCAGAGGTGTGGGAGGTGAGAGGATTCACCAGAGACAGAGTGGGGAGCAGAACAGGCAGACTGACTGAAATACACTGCTGAGGGGAGCAGCGGGCGCGACAGGAGAGGTCTGCTGTGCCATGTGGGTATCTCCCTGGCCGGCCGGGGATCAAACTTGCACTGCAGAGGCTGCAGACAGCTTCACAGTGCTGTGCCTAACCCTTGCACCACCAGGGAGGCCCTGTAATTTAAACTTTCTACTAATCACATTTAAAAAGTCAAAAGATACAAATGAAATTAATTTTAAAAATATATTTAACACAGCGTATTATTGCAATAGGGAATCACATACTAAACTATTATTGCGATCTTCTACCTTCTTTCCCCATTCTGAATCTTCAAAATGCGGTGTGTATTTCACCCTTCAACCACATCTCCGCTCAGTCTTGGCAGATGCAAGTGTCCACCGGCCGTCTGTGGCTCTGGGTTTAGAGAACAGCTCTGCACACTTCACCCCTGCACCCTCAGACCCCGCACCCCTAGGGAAATGGGTGAGAGAAGTTTTGATCTCACAAGGGACGGTATGAGAAAGAAACAATATCAGTTCACGGAGGCAAAAAATATTTTTTATTTTTCAAAAATGTAGGTGCTCTATTTTTTCCAGTGAAAAATGGGTGTTCTAAACATTGCAACAATACAAAGAGAGTAAGAACTGCCTAGCATCTCAGGCTCTAGTTCTGATATACATCTTTTCTGATTTGAAAAATGCCTGCTGAGAGCTGTCGTACATTTTGGTGGCTGCCTACAGGACTGAACGTTAGTCAAACGCAGGGAACAATAGACTTAAAACAGGTGCATTTTATTGCACGTTAATTATACTTAATTAAACTTCATCAGTAAAATTAAGTTAAAAAACACATGCCAACTAGCTAAACACAAACCAATCTAAATGAAAGATTTTTCAAACAGATATGTGATTGCATTAAACATATTATTTGTAATCTGCTTTTTTCTTTAATTATGAAAGTGGTGATGCATCCTCACTATAATAAATTCAAATGCCAACTTGGAAAAGTAAAAGCTGTTTGCTCTTTACCTGCTTTCTGTCCCCTCCTCTGACATGACTACAATGAGCAGTTTGGCAAATAATATTCCAGAAATGTGCTCACACACGCAGCTTAAACATGCACATATACCTAGAACCCCAAATTGCAAAATACAATAATACAACCTAGACAATTTGCTCTTTCTGGCCTGCTTCATCCTTTTCACACACTGCATAATGTTCTATAGACGGGAGCATCTTAGCCAGTTCCTTTGTGGGTTGTGTCCAATCCTGCAAATAAGAAAAACCAACTTTTTTTAAAAAAAAAATTGCAAAGTATCTTGGTTGCATTTTCATGTCAACACATAAAGATTGATGTATTGTTTTTTTTTAAACAAATGTAGCATATTTCAAAATATATACTAGTGTGTATATATATACACATATATACCTTGCTATGCGCAATATATTTTAAAATCTTCCTTTTCTTAACTCTTGTTGAGAATAAACATCCCTGTACATAATCTGTGTGCAAGAGTGCAATTATTTTCTGAGGCTAAATCCCTGGAAGTATAACTGGATCCAGGCTTTTCTACACAGAAGGTCTTGAAACACATTGCTGACCGCCCTCCAGATGGTTGACCTGGTGTCTTTCCCTGCTGGTTTGGGTTTCTCTCTACTCTCATGAGGTGTTCCCACCCTTTCCATGTTTGCCACCCAGTGCAGATGAATCGTCCCATATGAGGGTATCCACTTCTCTTTCTCCAGTTATGAGGGATATTGACCGTCTTTTCTAGTTCTTGGCCATTCAGATTCTCTTCTTCCCAAATATGTGGGCTGAAAGGGCTTTGGTTAGCCATAGGCTCTGGGCTCCACTGAACTGGGAGCCAGAAATCTGGCTCTTGAATATGCCGGTCTCCACAGACCTGGTCTGGTCTTGAGGAAGTTGCTTCTGCTCTCTGGGTCTCAGATTCCTGAAATAGCAGGTGCCTGCCCTTGAGGGCTGTTTCTGAAATTTCTGTGAGCTCAACATCTCTCCAAGACATGCTGTAGCTCCTTGAAAGGTGGGCTTTAGGACTGGAGGGGCAGTAAGGCTGGCTCCATCTGGCTCTGTGGTGTAAATGGCCAGCCGCCCATCCCAGGAGAAAGGCAGAAGCTGAACAGATGCACATAGGACTCTAACGGGAGCCCTGGTTACAGGGATTCATGGGCATTCTTTTGGGGTTCTCAGATTCTTCCTTCTCCCTAGGATCTTTCAGTTGGGAGGATAAGCATTTGTCTGGCTCAAGCAGCATCTAAACACCCCAGGGAGCATGGAGAAGGGTTTTGCCTGGTGGATGGTGGCGTCCATGCTGAATGTGGTGCAGGAAGGACCCCCTGCCTGCCGTAATGCCCCCTTGACAGCAGGCCTGATTCCCTCTCACAGATCCTCCCTGGTAAACCTGCCAAACCCTGAGCTGCTGAGATGTCTGGGGTCACGTGCTGTGGGGCCTTGTCATTGTAGGTTTCTTTCTGATGCTGTCACCGGCGTGGCCATTGTCACCATTTTGTTCTTCTTCCCGTCTCAAAGGCCCTCCTTCAAGTGGTGGTTTGACTTTAAAGGTAAGATGGTCAGGGCTGGGGTCGCAACGGGGGGGTTCCCTGAAGACTGTGGTCAGGAGGAGGGCCCACGCCAGGGGCCTGACCACCCCACTGTACTAGCCACACGGTTCTGCTTCGTCCCCTTCCCCTGAGCCTTCACCTTCTCTGGGCGCTCAGGCTGCTCCGGGGCAGGACCAGCAACCATAATGGGCAGCCAAGCCCAGCTGGCCAAGCCCATGTGGCCATCTACACAGCCCATGAGCTGAGAATAGTGTTCGCACATTTAAATGGTTGCGAAGACTCAAAAGAAAAATATTTCATGACGTGACCCATGAACTTCAAATTTCAGTGTCCATAAATAAAGTCTTCAAATTTTTTCAATAAGAACTTTGTGGGCATTTCTTTTCATAGGTTATACAAGTGTCTACACCATAGCCTTAACCTTGCCTCTTGGCCCACAAAGCCCAAAATACTTATTTCTGGTAGAAAACTTTCTACCCCAGGGCCCAACGTAAGAGTTGTAACTCAGTGGCCTACGGGGCCAGGCCTAGAAAGAACAGGACGTGTGGGGACCAAAGGCTCCAAGTCCATTTGCCAAATCCTCCAAACCAAATATCACCAGTGGGGGACCGCCCTGATTTCCAGCAGGTGTCTGTCAGCTGATCCTGTCACCTGTGACAGGCTGGGGTGGCGTATCACCACGTGGAGGGCGGATGAACCCTGGGCAGAAGTAAGAACTAGGGGCCTTAGTCCGTCTTTCACTGTGGAAAATGGAGTATTACATGACTATTTCCATGGTCAGGGGAATGGAGGGCGGGGTGCAGGGAGGCCCTGTCAGGTCAGCAAGGAGACCACCTCACAAGCACCCAGAACCACTGCAGTAGCTGCCTTGAGGAGGCTGGCTCAGGGCCTGTGGGGGCCTGGCCTGAGGGCTTTGCACTCTGCGGTTAAACCTCATTCTCCCCACCTCTGCTTCCCATACTTCCCACCAGCTTCCCTTCTACCCACTCCAGGTATTATTTCTTGGTCTCTTCTTGGTTTCCGCTGCTTCTTAGCTTTGGGGTCTTTATAGTGTCTCCTTCATCATAGTTCCTGCCCTTTCTTTCATACCTTCTATTCCCTTACAGCACCTTTCCCCACCTCACGCCCACCCTCACATCTGCTCCCACAGCTTCTGCTGCTTCCTGTCTCCTCAGCTTCTGTCCCTCGTAGCTTCAAGTCCCACACACTTCCTCAGAGCCCCACTCCCTTAAAGTGTTTATCCCTCCATGGTGTCTGCTGCTCCCTGTGAGTCTGCCTCCTCCTCGCCTTCAATTCCTTACGGTTTCTGCTTCCTCAGTGTCTATTTCCTCCTAATTTCTGTGGCTCACAGTTTCTGCTTCCTCCTTGTATCATTTCCTCCTACGTCCTGCTTCCTCTTGGCATCCACCTCCTCAGAGTCTCTGCTCCCTCACGGAACCTCAGCCCACTCACGCTCTCCCGTGCCTTATGGCCTCTTTGTGTGTCACTTGTCTCACCATTACTGTCTCTTTTCTTCACCCGATCATCTCTCTACTTCCCACGGACACTTCTGAGAGAAAACATCTGCCTGGTCTGGCAGATATGCACCCAGCAGGCCCCCTTGTAGCCTGAGATTTCCGGCCAGCCTGGAGCCTGCCCTGGCCAGTCATCCACCTGCTTCCTCTGACACGCTGCTTGAGCCCGGCTGCGGCAGTTCTGTAGACCAGGGCTGGAAGCTCGCCTGCCTGCCGAGGGCAACGTTGCGTGCTCAGCAGGCAGAAGAACGTACGTCACGAAACATGGCGCTCCCTGTCCATCTTCCCTGTCACACTTTTGAAACAGGCGCCAGTTTCTGTACTAGAAGGGAATTGGCAGAGGATGAGACTAAGTGGCAGGACATGGCGGGGTCTGTGGCAAACTGGCCAGTCACTGCCCATCAAGGAGCAGCTGTTACTGAGTTCCCCGGGGGTGTTGCCATACAGGAAAGCAGGGCGTGTTTTGCTGGATTTGCTGGTTTTTCAAGAGAAGCAAAAAATCTGGAATTTTATGAAACCTCCCTGATTTTAAATATTGGCAACTGATTTGAGTTGAGAAATATACTCGGTGTGGGCCAACAGCTGGGGTTTTTGAACGCCTCTGTTGTTGGGTGAGGCCCGTGCAATAGACAGAATCTGTGACCCCGGCTGAGGGATCTATGAGCTGGACTTCCCAGGGTGGCCTGGTGCCTGGGAGAGGGGCTCTGGAGCACAGCCTCTCCTCTGGCCACCAGTGGGCCGTGCAGGCCGACATGCTGCCTCCTGGTACCCAGCACTCGGAACTGACACAGAACCTTGGAGAATGATCACAGTTTCCATGGAAGAAAGTCACCTCATCAAGGTCATGTAGTTAAGAGACCAGAGGCAGAACCCAAGCAGCTGGGCAACCTTGAATTGCTTGTCACGCCCACTGTCCTCCATTATCCTGTGGGTCTGCATTTCTCTTGCTTGGTGGTCACTCAGCAAGTATTGATGCTGTGCCTACCATGTGCAGGGAACATGCTGGTGGCTGACCGTGATGGGGACAATGGTGATGACTTCCATTTCCTCTCTGCCCTTTTTCCAGATCTCTGCCTGCCTGGCTCACTCCATCACTCTGTTCAAACTCTGCCCAACTGTCACCTCCCCAGAGAAGTCTCCCCAGACTACACCATCTATAAAAGCACCACTCCTTTGTCATTCTCTATTCTATTTTCTTTCTCTTCACAGCATGTACTATTTCCTGACAATATCTGTTTGCTGGCTTATCGCCTGCCTTCTCACTCCATCTAAGTTCCCCTACGGGAGGCATTTCCTCTCGTTTGGCCACTTCTGAAGGCCCGGTGTCTAGAAGAGGGCTTGATACGTTGTAAGTCCTCCATTTGTATTTGTTTAGTTAATGACTGAGGACGTGCTCTTTGTACACATGGGTCCACTTTGTCTCCTCAGCAGGTCTGAGGAGGTTGTATTGCTCCCTTGTGCAGATGAGACACTGAAGCTCAGAGAGGCAGAGTCACTAGCATAAGTCACACAGCAAAGCGACAGAGATAGGACAGATCCAGTTCAACTTCACAGCCTGTGCTGTCAGCCACTGTCTAGACAGTCTGCGGCCGTAAAATGGAGGAAGAAAGTGAGAAATTCACATTCTTAGAGGCAAGGCTCATCAGCCTGGCAAGGACAGAGGTAGATGGGAAAAAAAAAAGACAGTGGCAACTGAGGTTAATTGGTGCTGACTGCATTGCCACAGTCTTAGAAGCACTTGCTATTTCACCATTTAATCTGCATTATCTTGAAGTCAAGTTCAGGGCCTTGCCACGCCCTGTCCCGCTCTTCTGTCTTTCTGAGACCTTGGCTGCCTCGCTAATGAAATAATATTTTGTCAGCTAAAGGCAGAGGGCTGGGCCTGCCGACATCTGCAGCAGTCTCTTCCAGTTTGGGCCGAAATGTTACATGGCACAAAGGAGACTTGGACACCAGGGCTAACAAGAAGCAGGTTTAATTGCACTGGTGCTGACTCAGCAGATTCGCATCCAAAGGCTGAGCCCTGTTTGTAGGAAGTCAGGGGCTTATGTACACTTTCAGTTTCTACAAGGTTCCGGGTGGGTTTGCATTGGCAGCTCTATGTGGTCAGATATGACGTGGCTACAAACCAAGAGGTGAGTCGTATGCCAAGGAGTGAGGAAAGGGTCAGAAGTCATGGGACCACCCCTTTCCCCCCAGGTCCATATTGCTTCATGGTTAACAGCTGACAAGATTCCTCCCAGGAACTACGTTGCATACCAGGAACTGAGCAAAAGGCCATTACTAATACCCCCGCCTGCTTATCTCAGGCCACCATGCTTCCATACTGTATATTTCCTTTGGTCCTAGAACCCCCTGACAAGGCCGACATCTGAACTGAGTGTCTACACCCTCAGGCTGCATGCCAGCTGGTGGAAGGATTTTATTAAGTGGCTTTTATTGATGTTATTTTCTGGTGATAAATTTCTGCTTTAGACAACACTATAAAAATTTGGAGACACCAAATGTCAGTGGTTGCATGACCAGGAAGTGTCCTGAGAGGTGGGGAACCGCCACGGACTGGGCCACACCTGTCCCCATGGCTGCCCGCAATGAAATGTCCCATTTCAGGAGTGTGTATTTAGCATTGGGCCAAACGTGCCACATACATTATTTGACAAGTGTTTATCGGGGTGCCCAGGGCGGGGCAGCACTCTAGCTGCTAGGAGTCTGCTGGAACTGAACAAAAATGGCCCTGCCAGCTCCATCAGTGCCTCGCAGATGGTCACAGGACCCTGCGGCTGCTAATAATATGCCACCAGAAAATGGGGGGTAGAAAGGCAAGGTCGGGTGTCAAGGGCATGCAGGAAGCTGGTGCCGAGGAGGGTCTGCAGGCCTAAGCTTCCAAGGCAGGAACAACAGAGTCTCACCCACCAGCCCAATGTGGTCCCCTTACCCACCTCTGAGTGCATCTTAGGGCCTCTGCCCTGCCTGCCAGGCCTGAGTGGTCTTTGATGTCCCCACGCACAGCAGTGGCAGCCCAGAAGTGCTAGGACTGGCCAAGCCTCTAACCCTTTGCAGATAATGTCCATTAGGCCCCCATGCTAACCAGGGCAGGCACAACTCTCTTAATTGGAAATAAAACTGTTAAGGAAATAAAAACCTTCCCATAATTCAATAAGCCAAAAATACCCCGTGTCTCTATTCTCCTGAATTTCCTTCCTCTCTTTCCCCCTCTTTGCGCACATTAGTTACAAAGAGAGCCTTTTCTCTTGTAAATGAGGATGGCAGTAGCACTTACCCAGAGGGCTGCTGTGAGGTTTAGAAGATGTTCTGCCTGCACAGTGCCTGCTTCCAGAAATTCTCAGCTGCGGGAGCCATGAAAATTATTCTAAATAGAGCAGACTTGTGGGTTTGTTTCTTCCCCTAAAGCTCCAAAAGCAGATGCTAAAGCCAGACTGTGACTCCCTGGAGGTCCCCCCAGCAACCTCCCCCACAAAGATGGGGCTGCAGGCCAGGTGTCCCCTCCCCAGGCTGAGTGTCCGAATGTGTGTGGGGTCCTTCTCTGCCCAGCAGGGACTGGTGTCCCCTCCTCAGGCTGAAAAGTGCTCTCTCTGCCCAGCTCCCAACACAGAGACAGAGCCATTGCTGACGTGGAAGAAGGCCCAGGACACGGTGCCCTGGAACATCATTCTCCTCCTGGGAGGGGGCTTCGCCATGGCCAAAGGCTGTGAGGTAAGAGCGGCAGGGGCGCTGCAGGCCTGGAGGCGTGCCCCAGGCCCATTCCCTGCTGCAGCTCAGGACCAGAGGGGCGGACCACAGGGGCCCTTCATTTGCCAAACGGGGCTCTCCTAGTTCCTATCTCAGTTACTGGGGCTGCAAAGAAAGAGCAGGAAAAGGTATGACTGGACCTTCAAGTGTCTTATTGAATATAATACTAATAATAGCGATACTAATTCTAATACGAATACAATTGGGCGGTAACAGTTCTGTGAGCTCAGAGGAAGAACTACATACTATGCTCTGTGTTCAACGCACTTTACACATATCAGCTCATTTAAACTTCCCAAAGAGCCTCTTCAGTAAAGGCCATTATCATTCCCCATCCATAGATCAGGATATGGAGGCACAGAGAGGTAAAGTAACCTGCCTAAGGTCACACAGCTGCGTCTTCAGCTGCGGAAGTTTGGCTCCAGGGCCTATGCTCTTAACCACTAAGATAGAAACATTCGATTTTTTTTATTAAAACTAATTAGTGTTATTATTAGTGTTATTCCAGAGGACTCTGGATGCTCAGAGGTGGAGCTGGCCTCCGGGATAGCTGAGCAGCAGTACAGTTTTTGCCTGCATGTTAGGAATCCTGAGACAGAGAAGTTAACTGACTGATTCTAGGTAACCCAGGTCATAGGTGGCAGAGTTGGAATTTGAACTTGTGTTTGTCTGATTGTTCTCATTACTGCCTTCTCCTGGGAGTGTATCAGGGAAGGCTTCCAGAAGGAGGTGACTTGTTATTGGGGTTTTGAGGAGGTCAAGGACAGCTGCGGTAAGAAGCATGGGCAGTGGAACCAGAATAATTGGGTTGGAGTCGCAGATCTTCTACCTCTTGGTTGTGTGCCTCAGTTTCCTCATCCATAAAATGGGAACAGCAATGGTGCCCATCTCACAGAGTTGTTACAATGATTAAATGAGTTGACAGGTGTTGAGAACTTAAAACATAGCCAGACATAGCTGGTGGATATGACTGGATGTGGGGGATGGGAAATCAGAGCCAAGGGACGACAGGAAAAATTAGCCAAGGCACTGGGTAGAAATGATGCCATTGACCAAGATGATATGAACCATGCCTGACCCGCAGGCAGGGAGAGGGCAGGACCCCCCACCCAAGAGGCTTCTCGGAACCAGGGGTAGTGGGAAAGCCCCAGAACTCCATGGGGGCTGCCACCGCGACGCTGAGCCTGCCAGGAGGCCCACTCTGGCTCCCAGCCCAAGCCTGGACGGCCGCTGGGCTTCTGTTCAACAGGGCTTTGTGTGGCAACTGCCCTCGTCCCCTGGCCCCTGCTGGCACCATACCCTCAACAGTAACCTTCTGCCATAAGCACTATATTCTCTCCAGTTTACAGATAAGGAAATTGAGGCACAGAGAGGTTAAGTGACTTTCCGGGATGACACAGCTAGGCAGGATTATGTCGAGGGCAGGCAGACTAAGTCTTACTCCAGAGTCCTTGCTCCTCACCCTCAGGCTCTGCCCTCTGATTTTGCCAGCTGCTGGTCCTGGAGTGCCTGAGACACTCTGGGGTTGTGTGTTTCAAAGGAAACAGAGCTTCTGATCCCTAAGGGACTGGAAAAGAGCAGGTAAAACCCTTCAGAGTCCCCAAGAGAGCCCCTGCAGTTGGGGGTTTTCCTCCCTGGTGAAGCTGCCGGTCTCCATCCTGCTGAGAAGCTCAGCCTTGGCTCTCGGTGTCTGCTGGGGCATTGGCTGGGGGCCCATCACCCAGAGGCCAGTCACCCAGAGGCCGGGCTGCAGGGAAATTCTTGGCTTCTCACCCATCCAAGTCATTAATATTCCCGCTCACCAGCCCCTCTCCACCCGGGCACATACACTACTGTCAGGCTCTTTGCCCAGGCGCTGGACTCTGGGGAAAAAACCAGTGGCCCCATTTTTTCCTTTCAGGGTTCCTGGGGCCAGGGGAGGGCCTGGGGCCTTGATGCCAGCCTGTGCCTTCACTGTGCTCTCACAGCGGCTGGGCAGATGTGAAAAAGCAGTGATTTTGCAAGGGTTCTTCTAGAAGAATGAATTTTCAGTATTACTTTGTTCATTGGAGATAAACTGTTAAGTTAAATTGTAGGAGCAAGTGTATTGTTTTATTTATAAAGAAACAGTATGCTGTGTTCTATAATCCGTTAGGAAATGCTAAGTTCTAGATAAACAGTGAACTTTCTATTAAGCATAAAAGAAATACATAAAGTCTGTTTTGTCTGGTAAACTGTTTTGGCACTAGAAGACACTAGGTTGATAAAAAGTGTGATAAAAAGTGTGGTAGACCTACACCTGATTCCAAAGGTTAGAGGACTGGATCAGCTCCTAAAGCCCCTGGTTGATATCTTTGTTAAGAAAACCACCTACACCAAGTGCCCTTGTAGCTTTATGGCAACCTTGCTGCATGACACCACCAGGGGGTAGCATAGAGCTCAATATGCGCTACAGCTGTGCCTCCTTGGGGTCTTAAAAGTGTTGAATTCTGGGGGATGAAGGGTACATTTGAAGGCAGGAGGGTGGGTGTGGGGGAGAGTTATACTGTGAATAAAGTAACTCCTGGAGAGCATGCAGATAATTCTGCAACTCTGATGCCTGTTGGGGTCTAAGGCCAGGGAGGAATCTTTCAACCTTTCCTTCCTCTGTCCGGGAGAAACCCTGTCAGCTCTGGGCATGTTCTTTTTTTTTTTTTTTTTTTTTTTAAGATTTATTTATTTATTTATACAAGCACTGGCTACAGTCAGAAGCGCGGGAGGGTGAGAGAATTCACCAGAGCCAGAGCGGGGAGCAGAGCAGGCAGAGGGACCGAAGTACACTGCTGAGGGGAGCAGCGGGCGGCAGGAGAGGTCTGTGCGCCATGTGGGACCTTCCTCCAGTGGCCGGGGAGCAGCCGGGGATCGAACCGGCACTGCGGAGGCTGCAGGCAGCTTCGCAACCCAGCGCTCAACCACTGCGCCACCGGGGAGGCCCTGGGCATGTTCTTAAGAGGTGCAGGGACAGACTGGTGTGTCCAGGGGAGGGTGCTGTCTCCTTTCCAGGGTGGCTGCGAGGAATCAAGGAAGGCATGGGCTCAGGTGCCTGGCACCTGCCAAGCCTCGCTAAGGGTGATTCTTAGGCTAATGAATAATAATAATACGTTGTTAATGTTGTTGATATTTGTATTATTATTGCTGTAATAATCATCCTCATTGTTGATCACCAATATCTTTATTACCGATAATCATATCGATTGTGTTGTATTTGCTATACACCCAACACACGTTTTGTATTACATAGGATGTATGTTTGTATATCTTAACCGTTTGCCACCTATTTCGTACAATAGGAATAATAATGGATGTTTTGAGTGAGTGATTGTGTTCTCACTGCAGCTTTCTCCTGAAATCAATCAGTCAATCAATAACAAGTCAGAGAAATGATCAGTGGGAATTGCAGGTGAACATGTCGCTAGGAAGGGTGACCAACGCAGGGCTCATTGATCGAGGCAACCCACAGACACGTTGATCCACTGAGCCTTAGAAATCTGGAAACACTTGGCCCCCGATGCTGTGTTGAGCTCTCTTTTGGGGAGGGAATCGGAAGATTCAGCGTGGAGGGTGCGAGTCCTGTCTCCCACTCCAGTTAGAAGTAAATGCACTGTTTGGAGAACCAAGTGGATTACTTGAGGGGTTTGAGCCTGGGCCTGTCCAAGATGGAGTCAAGAGCAGGTCAAGGAGCAGAGAGGCTGATTCAATTCCAGGCTTGAAGCTGTGACCTTGGGCAGGTCACTTACCCTCCCTGAGCCCTGAGCCCCAGCCTCCTGTGGGTGAAGGGGCAGGCTTGTCACTGATGGCAAGGATCCTAACCCTCCCTCCTGGGCCCTGGCCCCGGGAGTGGCAGGCTGCGGTGTGAAGAGGTGCCCTTGCTCCCTCCCCCCTGCAGGAGTCGGGATTGTCTGCGTGGATCGGGGGGCAGCTGCACCCGCTGGAGAACGTGCCCCCTGTGCTGGCCGTGCTGCTCATTACCGTGGTGATCGCCTTCTTCACTGAATTTGCCAGCAACACGGCCACTATCATCATCTTCCTGCCCGTCCTGGCGGAGCTGGTGAGGGTCCTTCCGGGGGGCGGGGGGGGGCGGGGAGGAAGAGCACCCGCCCCCTGGCAGCTTCAGTGGACCATTGGACATCCCCGATAGCAGCATGGGAGAGGGTGCCACATCCTCTTGCAAGGGCCTGCTGTTGAGAGATGGGGTGCTGGGGGTGCCTGGGGACAGCAAGGCAGCTCTGACCTGGTCTGAAGGGACAGATTTTGCTGGAGAAGACACTGGCAAAGGACACTTTCTGTGAAATGTTGCTTATCATCAAGAATCTCACAAAGAGGTGATTTTAGGGATTTTTGAGAAAATTTCCATGCTTTGGTTTGCAAAATTCCTGAAAGGGACCAAAAAGTCCCATCTGAGGTAAGATGCCAGAGAAATGATCCCCATGAACTGTGGGTGACTAGGGCACTTGGGAGAGATGATGCACCCACGACTTGCCGACTGAGGCCAACCCACAGATGGCCTCTTGTGATTTCTCTGCATTGCTCCCCTCACCAGGCCATCCGCCTGAGAGTGCACCCCCTCTATTTGATGATTCCTGGCACCGTGGGCTGCTCCTATGCCTTCATGCTCCCAGTCTCGACGCCCCCCAACTCAATTGCCTTCGCCTCTGGACACTTGCTGGTGAAAGACATGGTGAGTCTGGGCATTTTCTAGCCAGGCCGGAGAAGGAGGTGGACACCAGCTGCCGGGCAGGCATCCAGGCAGGACTTCTGTGTCCCCTCCCCGCCACGGCTGCTGCCCCCCCCCCCCCCCCCGTTTCTTTCTAGGCCCTTCTGAGTGGGACCGGGGAATACATTTGCACACTGCGACGGGTAGCCTGAGGCAGTTTCAGAACGTGCTGCCTACTGACCACGCCCCTCAGCCAGCTCCAGGGATCTGGGGCCCGCCTCCCTCCAGCACACCTCGTTCTCTCTCCCTTGTTGGGCCAACTGCCTGGTGGCTTCCAGCATCTTTTGGAGAGAGGCGCACAGCCCACTCCCTGAGTGTGATGTCAGGTGAACGCCACAGCCACAGCCCTGTGGCAACGGCAAGGATGGTAGCTGGCACCCAGAAACCACTTGAGGGATGGGACATGGGGGCAGCCTGGGGCAGTGCAAAGATGGGGGGACTTTGTGTCCAGATGGAGATCTCGGGTGAGCGACTTCCTGTCTCTGACCTTGGGTTTTTCCCATCTGGATGGTGGGCCTCCTCCCTCAGTTGGCGTCTATTTCAGGTGCGGACGGGCCTCCTGATGAACCTGATGGGCGTCCTGCTGCTCAGCTTGGCCATAAATACTTGGGCACAGACCATCTTCCAGCTGGGTACCTTCCCAGACTGGGCCGACAGCCACTCGGTCAATGTCACAGCACTGCCATCCACCTTGGCCAACGACACCTTTCGGACCCTCTGAGTCCCCCTTGGGGACACACTTTGGGCTGGGCCCTCCCAAAGGCCTTCGCCATCAGCTGCTGCTGGGACCCCACGGGACGGTCGGGCGGTCCTCTCTCTCATCCAGTTTGCGGCAAAAGAGGGTGACCTCCAGGGCTCCACTTGGGCCCACATTTTCACTATCTGGGGCACCTTCTCCTTCTCTCTTGAGGTTCAGGCCCCAGACGTCTCCCAGACCTGCCACGCGAGAGACAAGCTCCTTTGTCTCTGAGCTGTTGTGTGGTTAGGATGCCATTTCAGACACAATAAGCAAATCTGTGATGACATTTGTCTGGATGGTTGGAATGGGGGGAGCCGTCCTAGGGGCACAGCTAACATCCCCCACAGCCAATACCCCACCAGGGTACCCTCTGGAGAGACCGCCTTCCTCAGAGGGTGTTGGCAGCTGCAGTGCTGCAGTCCAGCTGTTCCAGCTGTTCACAGCCGGGGTTTGTGCTGCTTAGTTGGTGCCCACTGGTATTTGACTGTTATCCCTGCTGACACGCAGCAGCCAGAGCTACTTGCAATCCTGAGACAGGAAGTGACAGATGACTCCCCAAAGCTATGGGGACCAGGCAGAGGCTCCTTGCTGTTTCTCTGCACTCCCGAGCACACCGGGGAGTTCTCCAAACCCCAGCTGACACCTCTATTCACGCTTTTAGGATTTTTCCATTTAATCTGATTCCGTTTGGCCATAATGCTGGAACCAGGCCAGGATCCTTCTGCCGTGGGGATCTCTGTGGCTGCCAGCTGCCTCTGGTTCCAGTGGCTGGTCTTCGCCTCCCCAGGCCTCCCCCAGGGGGAAGCATGTTAGATTCTCAAAGGCACATTTTTCAGATGTGGGAGAAAAGTCAAAAGCCAAATTGGGGCCTTATAAATGTCTCAAGCAGGCAAAGATGGCAAGCGGGGACAGCCGAGGCTCCCCTGAGCCAGGGCCTGGCGGGACTGTCCCGGAGGATGAGGTCCTTCCTGGCTTCCCGGGGGACTGCATAGCACGGGGCCAGTGGCCCTCAGGAAGGGTCTAGCCATTGAGGCCAGTGCGCTCAGCATCAGAGCAGGCGCCAACTGAGGGGCCCAGCCTCATTTCCCCTCCTAGGCCTCTGAGGGAGGAGGTTCCTGGGAGGCAGTACCCAGGCCCTGGGCTTGTTCTGGGTCTAGTACAAGTAACTGGTGATGTTTCCCTGACAACGAGGGTGGGGGGAGGAGAAAGCAGAGGCCTCCGGTGGAAGATGAGCCGCACTTCCTTCCCACGTGAGTACTTCAGTATTTAGTCACTTGTTACAGCCCTTGGGAATTGAGGGGGGCGGCCTCCTGTGGGACGGAGAAGGGAGAAGTCCATGCACAGGGAAGCCCATGGGACATGTCACCAGATGAATTGTGATTTCAAATACCGATTGAAAATGCTATGCAATAAAGAATGTTAATCACCGCTGGGCCTGGGGATTATTTGCCTTTCTGGACTTATGAGAACTCCAAAGCCCCAAGTTTCTGAGCTGGGGGTTCCACAGAATTGATGTCCCTGACATCACTCCTCTACTGCTCTCTCCTTTCTGTACCACTTCAGCCACTCACTCAAACTTTCCTGCCTCAGGGCCTTTGCATGTGCTCTTCCTGCTTCCTAAGACTTTTCTCCCAAGTATGTGTCTGTTTCCTCGTTTTTATTCCAGTTTCTGCTCAAATGTCACATTCCAGGAGGATCTTCCTTAAGCATCTGACTTAGACTATCACCCTTATCACTCGCCATCCCCTTTCCCTGCTATCCATTCTTCTTAGTATGTAGTCAGGACACTGTATTATTTACTTTATTGTTTATTAACTTTCCCTCTAGAATATAAACTTATTGGAATACAAGCTTTATTTTGTTCACTGCTATAATTCTGGGGCTTAGGATAGTTTCTGGCTCATACTAGGTTCCAGTAAATATTTGTTAAACGAATCCAGGCCAGGACTTATAAGAAAGCAATGTCACTCTCTGATCTGGGGTCTGCTTGATCCATTTTTTTGCTTGTTTATTCATTCTCCCACTTATTCATTCAGTGACATTTATTTAGAACCTGTTATGTCACTGTCCCCATGACATAGAACTTCTAGCCAAGGCAGTAGGCAGATAAGCAAATAAATAAAATGTCTGGGTCATGACTTGGGCTGAGAAGAAAATGAGACTGGCTGATGTGACAAACTGACTCAGAAGCTATTTTAGCTGGTGGTCAGGGAGGGCTTCTCTGAGGAGGTGGCACTGGACTGAGACTGGAAAGAATCAGCTACCTGCTCATGTGGTGTGGGAGGAAGGGCGCTGCCTGGGGTGGTGCAGTTATTGGCAATACACCCAGGACTCATGTCTGGGATATAGGGAACTCGGAAGCCAGAAAGGACAATACTAAAGCAAAAACACCCATTTTAGGGACCTGTGGCTGTAACAAAGCAGCCCCACCCAGCACCTTGCAACACAGCAGTTGTTAGCTCAGGCTTCTGCATTTGGGCGCAGCTCTGCAAGGATGGTCTCTGCTCTCCATAGTGTGACCAGGGGCACTCAGCTGGGAGTTTAGCTAGAGCTGGACTGTCCACAAAGACTGCAGCCCCCTGGGGGTCATGTGGCTTATCCAGGAGTGAATCTCTTCAGGTGACGGCGGGCTTCTAGGAAGGCAAAATCAGAGCTCTCGGGCTCCTTAAGACCTGGGCTTGGGGGTCCAAGAGCATCCATTCAACCACATGGCACTGGTCAAAGCAAGTTCCAAGGTTAGGCTGGCTCAAGAGAGGGAAATAGATGTCAGTCTCGGACAGGGAGAGCAGCCCCACGGACAGAGCTGGGAGACAGCTGGCCACCATCTTTGGAAACCTTCTGTCATAATCCCCAAGAGAAAATGGAGCGCAAGATGATGAAGCCATTCTGAAAAGAAATATCTAAATAGCCAGCAGCTTTGCGGAGAGACGCTCAAACCCATGTGTAATCAGGTCAGTGCAAGTTCAAACAAGACTCGTGCCCATCCAAATGGCCAAGAGCTAGAAAACTGCACAGGAAGCGAAGGTGAGGCGGAAGGAAGCAGAACTCCCGTCTCTGCTGGCGCCTGAAGCTGTCACCATCGGCCCGTTAAGCAAATTGCAAGAATTTGGGAGATTCATTACCTGAATTCCTAGAACGCTCTTATCCTGCTCCCAGACTTATGTCCCAGCAAAGGATCCCCTGGGTCCCTAAGGAGACAGTGAAGGAGAATGCCTGTGCCACTGTTGTTTGAGGTACTAAGGTGCAGGAGGCCCTCTAGAGGGGTTCGGGAAGGGGGGTGTAATAAAATGTGGAAGAAGAACCTCCCCGGTGGCGCAGCGGTTGAGCGCTGGGTTGCGAAGCTGCCCGCAGCCTCTGCAGCGCCGGTTCGATCCCCGGCTGCTCCCCGGCCACCAGAGGAGGGTCCCACATGGCGCGCAGACCTCTCCTGCCGCCCGCTGCTCCCCTCAGCAGTGTACTTCGGTCCTTCTGCCTGCTCTGCTCCCTGCTCTGGCTCTGGTGAATTCTCTCACCCTCCCGCGCTTCTGACTGTACCCAGTGCTTGTATAAACAAACAAACAAACAAATAAACAAATAAATAAATAAATCTTAAAAAAAAAAAAAAGTGCGCTGAGACATGAAGGTGATTGGGGCCGCGGAGTAACAGTACAGTTGTGTGCCAACTCAGGTGAGCTGAGGTGAGCTCAGGTGAGCTGAGGAAAGGAGGCGGCCCTGGTGAGATGAAGTGCTAGCAATTGAACCAGGGGTGCCCTCAGCCACACTGGATCCCCTCTCCCCTTCCAACACGCCGTGCGGTCAGTGCACGTCTTTTGCTGTCTTGGACTTGAGTTTCCTCATCTGAGATGGTGTCAAAAGGAAAGAGGAAGCACGTAAACTAGTAAAGTCAGGGAGCATTTAATAAAGGATCCAGTTACAGGGTGTGGGCAGAGCATAGAGAAAGCACAAGCCCCAGGTGTGGGGGTGACTCGGGAGGGAGAAGCACCCCCCAGCCCAACATCTAAGGAAGAGAAAACACCTACGGGACACGTCACCTTCCACCCAGGGATACCCCCAGCCCTGGATGACTTCAGAGAGAGAGTCCCTCTGGATCTTTCTCTCTTTTGCCCTCAGCTTTCCCGTTGGGGGTCCCCAAGGGCCAAAACAATTATGTTGGTTGTGGTTCTAAGGGAAATAGAGCAAACAAGATGTGTATATGTGTATGTGTACCTGGAAAAGAGTTGCACTTTAGTGCAAAGGTTGTCTGTGAGCAGAATTCCCTCTTCCTGCAGGGGGAGTCACTCTTTGTTGGATTCAGGCCTTCAACTGATTGTCTGAGACCCCCCATGCTTTGTAGAACAATCTGCTTTACTCAGATGCCGTGGATTTAAATGTAAATCTCATCCAAATTGCCCTCACAGAAACATCCAGAATAATGTTTGACTAACTAACTAGACATTGTGGGCTGGTCAAGTGACCTGTAAAACTAACTACCACACCAAGAGAAAGCAGAAGCAAGGCAGACCTTTGATGAAGCCCATCCATCCAGGTCCACCTCCAGGGGCACAGGGTGGAGAGAAGATAGAGACTGAATTTAGAGAAAATGTGGCATGGAAAATTCCATGCCACATGGAAAATGTGGCATGTGGCTCTGGTTACACTGAACCAGAGCTTCTAAGCTAGTGGTCTCCAGGTCTACAACCAGCCCACAATCAGGTTTTTGTTTATGCTTCCCATCCCAAGAGTTTTAAATTTATAACTGATTGCTTGTACTCATAATGCAGCAGATTTTATGTAAAAGCCCGGATTTGTGCTTCACTTGGAAAAGAAAATACCAGATCTGGCAACACGGGACCCTCATTGCTGCCTGTTACTGTTGGTTTGGAGCTGAGTAGTTAGTGGGGGTAAGCTAATCCAAGTTGGAGCATGAACTTTCTTGTTGCCACCGTCCCCAGCAGGCCATAATGTCTTACACTGGTTCTCTTTATTTGACTGTGTTCCCCACCTGATCTCCAAGGGCACTTGAATCTGTGACTCCTGAGCTGCATGATCTGGAAGATCAATTTCAGCTTTAGTGATTGTGGGTTCTAATGGCCTAGAGCAATCCTATGGGATAGAAATTTCTGTGATGATGGTAATAGTCTGTATCTACCTTATCCAATATAGTAGCCGCTAGCTTTGTGTCACTATCGAACACTTGAAATGTAGCCAGTCTGCTCTGACATGTGATGTATTGAAAACACTGGATTTTGAAAACTGAGGATAAAAAAATGAATATAAGTGATCCATGAATAATTTTTATATCAATTACATGTTAGAAAGGTAACATATTAGCTATGTGGGGTTGAAAAAAATATTTTATTAAAATTAACTTTAGGGCCTCCCCGGTGGCGCAGCGGTTGAGCGCTGGGTTGTGAAGCTGCTCGCGGCCTCTGCGGCGCCGGTTCGATCCCCGGCTGCTCCCCGGCCACCGGAGGAGGGTCCCACATGGCGCGCAGACCTCTCCTGCCGCCCGCTGCTCCCCTCAGCAGTGTTTTCAATCCTTCTGCCTGCTCTGCTCCCCGCCATGGCTCTGGTGAATTCTCTCACCCTCCCGCGCTTCTGACTGTACCCAGTGCTTGTGTAAATAAATAAAAATAATTCTTAAAAAATAAATAAATAAAAAGGATGAAATAACTTTAAAAAAATTAACTTTAATTTTTAGTGTGGCTACTAGAAAATTTTGAAACGCATGTTTATTTCACTTTCTGTTTCTACTGGATAGGGCAGCCCCCTGGCACATTCAGATTTTAGTCACTTCGCCACGTTCTCAAACCATCTGGACAGTGACAACATTCACACCCACAGGCGTGCAAGTCCATACTCCTGTGCTCCGAGGTCTCTAAGTCCGATTCCGACTCACCACTTCCCCTTCCTGCGCTGTCTTATGGCTCTGAATCCTCCACCCTGAAATTCCCCTCCATAAAACTGATTCTATATTTGGAGATTCAGAAGCCCCTTCCGGAAGTTGTGGGCCTTGGAGACAGGCCAGCTTCTATAGGCAGAAGTGACTGTCTGTATGCGCTGAGAAATGCCAAAACACCTCCACCCTTTCCCCTCTATGCTCCTCTCCTCCTAGATCTCACCACCCCACCCCCGCAGGGGCCTTGAGGAAAAGCCCCGATGGTCCTTAACCTACCCACTCCCTGATGCCTATGCAGAAACCAGGCAAATTCTGGGGTCTTCCAAGACCACTCTCCAGTAACACAGTTCCCCCAAGTTTCCTGTGTGATGGGACCAGGGAGCTGGTCCTGAGAGTGTTGCGGAGGCCTGGACAAGCAGCACAGGGCTGAGGGCAGCAGCATTTAACTGCTGTTTACTGGGATTTCGGGGTACATTATCTCACTAAGCCTCAAATAACTCCGAGAAGCAGGTGTAGCATTCTCATTAGAGCAGTGTACACACGAGCTCAGAGAGGGACGGTGTCCCGTCCAAGGTCACACAGCACAGCAAACAGCAACACAGGTCAAGTCCAGATCAGCTGCCTGCAGCCCAGGGTCCCTGTGGTACAGAGGAACAGCTAGACAGACCCTCCTCCCCCAGCCCCTGCAGACAGAAATCAGTAGTCCACAGATGGCTTTGGTCCACAGACCTCTTAAGGCTGGTCTGCATCATGGTCTTTCTTTTTGTTTTAATTTTGACTTTAAAAACTTGGAGACTTTAAAAACTTGGGCCTCCCCTGGTGGCGCAGCAGTTGAGCGCTGGGCTGCGAAGCTGCCCGCAGCCTCTACAGCGCTGGTTTGATACCCGGCTGCCGGCAAGGGTCCCGCATGGCTGCCGGCAAGGGTCCCGCATGGCGAGCAGATCTCTCCTGCCACCCGCTGCTCCCCTCAGCAGTGTACTTCCTCAGTCTGCCTGTTCTGCTCCCCGCTCTGGCTCTGGTGAATTCTCTCACCCTCCCACGCTTCTGACTGTACCCAGTGCTTGTATAAATAAGTTAAAAAAAAAAAAACCAACTTGGAGACTTTTTCATAAAAATGGAAACGACTGGTACCTTTGAAAAAATTGGAAAATCTGGGACTGCCTGACCTCATTTTTAACCCTCAGTTGCAGCAAAGTAGCCATTTTCCTGTGGAACAGGTCTACACCTGGAGTCCCCCCCCACCCCCGGCCCCAGCCTGCTCTGCTCCTTTCCCTCACCTGCCCACCTGTGGGTACACGAACCTCCTATTCCTGGTCTATTTCTTGTGTCCCTTTGTGGACTTTGCAGCTGGCTTCCTAGGGGGCTCATGATCTGGGAAGGGTGCTAGACCCTCTGACACACAGGTGTCTCAATGTGTGACAGTGAAAATGTCACTTCCCTTCTAGGCCTCAGATACCCTTCTTCAGACCTGAGCAGGTGACCCAGGCAAAATGTCCTTCTAAGGGGAAATGACCAGGCACCTAGAACACTGCCCTCAAGGGCTGTCCTGTGGGCCTCCAGGAGCAGAGATGCTGATGGCAAAGGTCAGCTCTCCAGGAGGAACTGGCTTCCAGAACTGCCTGGAGTGCACCTGCAGGGCAATATTGGCAGCAGGGTATGTAGACAGGGAATTCACTTTTATTGAGTGCCTACTGCGTGCAGAGCCAGGTGCTTTGCATGTCATCATAGGCCTCAGAGCTGATGGCTTGGTCAAGGGGCTGAACCCTCTGGGTCTCAGTTTTCACAGCTGAAGAATAGTATAATGACCGCAAAGGGCAGTAAAATTGTGGTAAATTGGCAGTAAAGTTGCATACTACACACACCTGCTGCGTAGTAAGTATGTGGTAAATGTTGACGGTTATTAGGGCTCCTTAGGAGCCTCTTTTGTAGGCAGAGGAAACAGACCGAGACACGAGCCTCCCCCTCCAGGTCACACAGCTGTGACCCAAAGCCTCAGGATGTCCCTCCCCACCCCCTAGAGTTAGGATCCAGGCTCCTCCTGGGGCACACAGCTTTGCAAGGAGAAGAAGAGGGGCAGGCGAGCAGGGTGCTGGTCCCAGCACTACCCCTAAAATCGGAAGGCTTCTCAGAGCCTCAGTTTCCTGCTCTGTAAAATGGGCCAGTTCTACCTTCCTGCTGTGAGCACGACATGTTCCTCGCAGCAGGTTCTTCCTCTCCTCCCACACCTCCACACCCTCTGGCTGGAGGCTGGGGAAGTGGGTGAGGCAGCTTGCCCAACACCCTGGGAGGTGGGCCCAGCAGGGCAGGACGAGGACACCAGAGGATTCATTTAAAGGGTGGAAAAGCAGAAGTGACGGGGTTTCCCTAGTCCTAGAGTGTCCTCTAGGACACTCCCCAACCTACTCTCCACCAGCCATCGCTGCCCAGGCCGAGCTGTCCGGAAAGCATGAGGGTGCCCCAGGAGGCAGCTGAGCGGATCTTCAGGACCTGGTAAGTCCAGGACCTTGGACCCGGGGCCACGGTGGTCAATGGTTGGGCATGAGGGGTCTGTGCCTAGGTCTCAGGTTCTGCCACTCCCTGGTTGCACGACCTTGGGTCAGTCCTCACCTCTTTGAGCCTCAGTTTCCCCATCTGTGAAGTGAGAGTAATAATAATGTCTGTAAGCATCGGAGAACTGAACCCACATGTGCCCCTCTGAGGCTCAGAGGGAGCCCTCGATGAACAGCAGCTGGCTTCCTTGTCCTTCCAACTCGACCCAGCCCGCACCACTCTGAACTGGCTTTCCACGCTCGTGTTGCCTGTATTTTTAGCTGTTACCTTAACAGTCTCCATGTTCCAAATTCCAATTCTTTTTTTTTTAAGATTTATTTATGCATACAAAAACTGGGGTACAGGCCAGAGGTGTGGGGGGTGAGAGAACTCACTAGAGACAGAGTGGGGAGCAGAACAGGCAGAACTGACTGAAATACACTGCTGAGGGGAGCAGCAGGCGAGACAGGAGAGGTCTGCTGCGCCTTATGTGTTGCTTCCTGTCCAGCTGGGGATCAAACTCGTGCTGCAGTGGCTGCGGACAGCCTCACAGGCTTCTTAACCCCTTGCGCCACCAGGGAGGCCCCTCTAAATACCAATTCTGCAGTGGAGGGGCTTTAGTCCTAAATTCAACTGCCTGCAAAGTATAGATGGGAGGCCACTGGGGTTGCCTGCAGTGCCCAGTGAGTGGGAGGTATCATCTGCAGAGTGAACCCCTGTTTAAGGGGGTAGTGGATACTCGGCTCCATATTCTGCCACAAAGGTGGGAACTCCTTCAACCTAGGTCCTCCACTTTCTTAAGGGAAGCTGGAAATCTGGATTTTAATGTGAAATTTCCTGATTTCCAAATGGGAGGCAGCTAATACACACACACACACACACACGCACGCATGCACGCACGCACGCATGGAGAACTTTCAATTGTGATCTCTGTTCTTGCCCTACAGGCCTCATGCCCCTCAGCTCCCCTCTGTGAGCTAATCCCCCCAACTCCCTATTTCCTTTGAGGGGAAGGATGAAATAGAGCTCAGGGCCTTTAGGTGCCTTACTCCTCCTGTTGGGGATGCCCAATCTCCCTTTCACACTAAGAACTGATATTTATCCTGCCAGACCCAGCTTTAATGTCGCCTCTTCCAAGTAGCCTTCCTGGCTTTCCAGGTAAAATTTAGTTACTCTCCTCTTACCCTGCCCAGACCCAGGTGTATCACAATGAGGGATCTTCTTTCATGGAATTAAGCTCCAATGAGCTGGCGTGTCTTGTCTTCTCAATCAGGCTGTGTAAAGACAGGCGAGTGTCTATGGACATGACTTGATTCACAGGGGTTAACACAGAGTCTGGTACAAAGGGAATGATGAGAATATTTACATCATCATTATTATCATCAACAGCAATATAATTTGCTCAGGGTCCTTCCTCTGTGCCAGACTCTGTCTGGGGTCCTTTACATCGTTCCTTCATGTTATTGTCTCAGGACCCCTGTGTCAAAGATTCCGTATTAATCAGGACTCAGTTGCGCCAAATATTCATTTCAGATTGACTTAAGAGAAAAAGTTCTCTCCCCTTGCTGCCTCATGAGGCAGGGCAGAGCTGGCTTCGGGTGTGTCCTGATCCAGGGCCACACGTGGTTCCCTTGATGCTCCAGCTCCGTTTCTTAGCTCTGCCTTCCTGAGTCCTCTTCATCCCAGGCAGACTCACACTATGTGGGGGACCCCAAAGTTCCAAGCATCTCTCCTGCCACCAGCTTCGCTCTCCAGACAATAAAGAGTTTTTTTTTTTTTATAGCAAGTTCTCGCTTTTATTTTTTTTTATAGAGGCATGTTTTTATTTATTTATTTGTTTGTTTTTTTTTGTTTTGTTTATGCATGCACTGAGTACAGTCAGAAGCGCGGGAGGGTGAGAGAATTCTCCAGAGCCAGAGCAGGGAGCAGAACAGGCAGAAGGACCGAAGTACACTGCTGAGGGGAGCAGCGGGCGGCAGGAGAGGTCTGCGCGCCATGTGGGACCCTCCTCTGGTGGCCGGGGAGCAGCCGGGGATCGAACCGGCACCGCAGAGGTCGCGGGCAGCTTCGCAACCCAGCGCTCAACCGCTGCGCCACCGGGGAGACCCCAATAAAGAGTTCTTTCCCAGTATTCCAGCAAACCCTCCGGTGGGCTTTCGTTGGTCCATCTTGGGTGAGGTGTCAATCCCTGTGCCGGTTACTGTGGTCAGGAGTTGTGGTCCTCGGATGGGCTAGGGGTCATGTGCTCACCCTCTAGTTGAGGATGATGGAAGAAGTCAGGGGCTTTGCCTGTAACCAACACGGGAACTGCCTCCCCATGACTTTCCCCCCCCAGCAGAGTCCTATTACTCCATATAACCACAGTACCTGGTCTTTCACCTCAAGTGGGTCCTCAGTACCATTTCTCTAGCTCATTTCCTCTCCCATTTTCCTGAAGAGTTACTTACACCTTCTTCTTTGTCTATAACCTCCGTCCCTGTGTCCGTCCCACCCCCACCCCCCCAGCATCTTCACCATCAGTGCTGATCTCGCTCCCTGGCCCCCTGAGCAAACAGAGACAATTATGCTACAGTTGACAAATATTTATGCCACATGCCAGACACTATTCTAGGAACCTGAGATATAGAAAAGAGACCAGTCCCTTCCCTGATAGAACTGATGCTTCAGTGACAGATTAAAAACTGTCATTATCTCACCACCAACATCTGTTGCTTACTATGTCCAGACACGTGACTCGATGAGGCACTGTATTTACTGCATCGTTTTACAGATGAGAAAACTGAAGCACAGAGAGGTTAAGAAACTTAACCAAGGTCACACAGACAGTAAGTAGGGGACAGGATTTGAACCCAAGCGGTTGATAGAGCTTCTCCAATTTCCTCGGCACAGGTGGAGATTCTGGCGCGTGGGGCTCTTCAGGGCCCTGGCCCCACTGCAGGCCGCCTGGGTTGCTTTCTCTCAGCCTGTCCCAGCCAGCCGTGGCCAGCTGCTGACCCAGTTCCTCCTGTGCGGATCCCTGGCTGTCGCTGCCACAGGCCTGGCCCATCACTGGATGGTGTCCTCATGGTTTTATCCCCTCTGGCCCTCGGACATGGTGGCAGCTGTCTGTGGCCTCCTGGTCTTCCTGGGTCTGCTCCTGGTGCCCCCTGCCCGCTGCCTGTTTGCACTCAGTGTGCCCGCCTTGTGCATGGCCCAGGGCCGCCGCCTGCTCCTCTCCTGCAGCACCGCCATCCTGGCTGTCACCGTGGTGCCCAATGTCCTGGCCAACATGGGTGCAGCTGGGCAGGTGCTGAAATGCGTCACTGAGGGCTCCCTGGAGAGTCTACTCAACACCACTCGCCACCTGCAAATGGCATCCAGGGCTCTGGGTCCCGGTGGCCATGCGGGCAGCAAGGGCCTGATGTTCCAGGCCCAGGGCAATGGCTCCGCCCTCCGGCTGCACATGCTCAAGGTGACTCAGCAGGTCCTGGAGGACTTCTCTGGCCTGGAGTCCCTAGCCCGGGTGGCAGTGTGGGGGACCCAGCAGGTGGTCACGGGGTTATTCATGCTGGGCCTCCCTCTGGACTCGGCCTGGTACCTCCATCGCTACCTGACCGACCTGCAGTTCGATAATACCTATGCAACACGGCAGCTGGCCCGGCGCCTGGCAGAGACCCAGGCCACACATCTGGTGGCCTCCCCACCAGCCTGGCTGCTCCGGGCCACCCGGCCCAGGCTGTCCCAGGGGGAGCTGCCGAGCTGTCTCCTGAAGCTGGGGCTGCTCGCCCTGCTCCTGCTGGCCACCGCTATGATGGTGGCCACAGACCACATGGCCTTCCTCCTGGCCCAGGCAACTGTGGACTGGGCTCAGAAGCTGCCCGTTGTGCCCATCACGCTCACGGCCAAGTATGATGTAAGTGCTGTTGTGGGAAGTTGGGCAGGAGTCATTTCCTTGAGGGAAGGGATAGGGTTGGTTAAACCCTTGACTTGACACTGGAGTTTTCTCACCTCCAAGCCAAGCTAAGGGGATAAACTGGCAGCCCCAGCACATCCTCAGATGAGTTCATTTCACACCTACAACAGCCCGACACCGCTGTGGGTTCTGTCCACCCCCATGCAGGTGCGGACACTGACCCCCAGAGATGTTACAATACTCTGCCCCCTAAGGCCACGCTTCCCAAGTGGCAACATGTCCTTGCCTTACTTTCCTCTTGTGCAAATTGGATCAATCCTCTTTGCCTTTCCAGGTCACTGAGTCTTAAAATGTGTTTACCTCTGAAGTGTATGGTAAGTTCCCTATCACCTAGGAGATATTTAATAATCAATCAAAGCTCACATATGCACATATCAGGCTGGAGGAGGGCTGAGAATGGTCTAGATCAAAGTTCCACCCCCTACAACCCAGGGCCAAGTCCTGTTTTTGCAAATTAAGTTTTATTTATTTAATAAGTGACACTGCCATGTCATTTGCGTGTATGTTCTCCGTGGCTCATCTGTGAAGATGAGGCTGGGTGGTTATAGCAGGGACTTAGGCCTAAAACACTTACTATTTTATTTTATTTTATTTTATTTTTTAAAGATTTATTTATTTATACAAGAACTGGGGTACAGGCCTGATGCACGGGAGGGCGAGAGGATTCACCAGAGACAGAGCGGGGAACAGAACAGGCAGACTGATGAAATACACTGCTGGGGGGAGCAGCGGGCGAGACAGGAGAGGTCTGCCGTGCCATGTGGGACCCTCGCCGGCCGGCCGGCCGGGATCAAACCGACACTGCAGAGGCTGTGGACGACAGCTTCACAGTGCGGTGCTCAACATCCTGCGCCACCAGAGGAGGCCCCACTTATTATTTTAATTGTGATATGTTAGTTATTTACTGCCGGTTTGACATGAGATGTATTTACTACCTGATCAAGATTTGTGGTTTTCAATCGTTTCTGTTAGCTCAATCCTTTTTATTTTTAATGGTGAGCTCTCATGTAACAGCCATTGACCCTGAGCTGATAGTAACTAATATTTACAGAGTGCTTGTTGTATAAGAGGAACGTGGTGTTCAGGCAGCACAAAATCAATTGAGGAGGGTCACAGCCAGCTTTAAAAAAAATGAAATAGATTAGACTAGGAATGGATTAGAGTATATAATAAGTGACAGTGGTATGTATTATTTTATGCACTCTTCCCTCAATCACACTATAATCCATGGTTAGAATGTGCCCTAAGAGGTATTTCTTGCAGCCGAGAATAGTGACAGGCAGCGTCTGAGGTGTGTGTCACCTGATTCCTGGATCTCATCGTGTCTAAAGCGCCATTTGCTCTTGAATCACGTCGTCATTCTCTGTGATCCTGGGACAGGGAATGTTGCCTGTTAAGACACAATGTCTTCCCATCACTTAGAGTTTTAACTGGATACATGCAAAATAGTTCATCTATTTCACATGGATTTAGCTCATCAAATCTTTCTCATGGTGGAGAAAAAGAAAAATAGTGAAGTCAATTCGGGAAGCTTCCCCAGGAACATCTCAACTGTTCGCTGAGGGAGGCTCAGCAAACACCCTTCCAAACGGATGCATTTCCTTGAAATAATCTGAGTAATAGTCAAAACCACATTTTCATGGTGCTTTTTATTTTGCCAAAAGCCCCCTCTCAGACTCCTGAGCTCATCTGCCCGTCCTCAACCCCCGTGGGCAGGGTTGCTTCTGTCCCCAGCTTGCAGATGAGGGCAGGCAAAGTTCTGTCCTGTCCCGCCAGCACCGCACGTCGTGGTGGACGGTGCAGAGAAGGGGGTGTCTGTGTGTTGATGGGGTTTTTCTCCTTTTCGAAGGCTGCGTACACCGTCCTGAGCTTCATCCCCTTCCTCTTCAACCAGCCGCCTCCAGAGAGCCCCTTCCTCTCCACCCACAGCTCCTTCTCCTGGGAGCTCCGCTTCACCTCCTCGGACTGCCCGCTGCTGCCTGCCCAGCGCCCCCGCTGGGCTGCGCCCCTGGCCGTGGGGGCCCTGCAGCTGCTGGCTGGATCCACCATCCTCCTGGAGACCTATGCCCGCCGCCTGCGGCACAGCATCGCCGCCTCCTTCTTCACGGCTCAGGAGGCGAGGAGGGCCGGCTACCTGCATGCCCGGCTCCAGCAAAGACACGACAGGGACCGAGGCCAGCAGCTGCCCCCGGGGACGCCCCCTGCTCCTGACACGCGGGGCCTGCCCGCAAGCGCCCTCGAGGGTCAACAGACGACAGCTGGCGGGTCACTTTGAAGAACAGAGAGCAGTGAGGTGTGGAGAAGGAGCTTGGGCATCCCATGGAGCTGAGAGGTAATCTTGTCCCTTCTGCTGCTTTCCTGTGTGACTTTGGGTGCATTGCTTCCCCTCTCTGAATCTTCAGAGGGACCTCCCGGTAGCAATCGCTGCACCTGCCACCCACACGGGACTGTGGTAAGGATGGAGTGAGATGTTGGGCAAGACGGGTCTTGGTGAAGAGACGAGAAGGAGACATAGGGGAAGCAAGAAAGGGCAGAGAAGCCGGGGGGCCTGGCCACGGAGGTCCATCACGGTTCTCTCTGCTCCAGCTCCTTTACCTTGTAGCTCAGACTTGGCATCACGAAAGTGTCTAAATACTTTGGAATTTATTGAACGTAAATTCTGAACGTATTCATGATAGCTTAAATTTTTTGTGACTATATAAATGTATTTATTAGACCCCAACTTAGATTACGTTCTGCCTTTGCTTCACTTTTCCTCTGGGGGGTTCCCGCCTAGGGGTTGCCAGGGTTAGCACGTGGAAATATGGGACACCAGGCTGGATTTGAATTTCAGGTCAACACAGACACAGGTTTAGGGCCTATTGATGCTAACACACTAAACCTGTTGTTTGTCTGAAATTCAGATTGAACTGGGGAACCTTTGTTTTATCGGGCACCTCTGTTCCCACTGAAGTCAGAACGCACTCACGACTCTCTGTGCCGTGGGTCTGATTCTCCTGCAGGTCCTTCTCAGCCCTTCTGCGGCCTGCTCTCTTCTGGCAGGGTCTGTGGGGCTGCAGCAGGACGACAGCTTCCATGACTGCTGGTGTCTTTCCTTAACTGAGTCCTCACCTCTGTGCCTTCACGCGACTCGCTGTCCCATCCTTGGGGACTTCCCTGCCCCTGACTGTCGTGTCCCGGGTCACAGAGCCCCGGCTGGCCAGCCTCTTCCAGTTCCCTAGGCAAACACGCCTCCCTCCTCCACTGCCCTCTGCTCCCCTTCAGAGTCCAGCGAGAGTGGTCCGAGGACCATACACCCTAGATGGTCACTGTAAAACCCCAAATTTCGCTTTGTTGTCATTTTTGCAACAGGGATGAGAAAAGATAAAAAGGAGTTTGTAATCTTTTCATCACCCATCCTGCGCAAGCAGAAAAATGGTTTTTTGCTTGCAGAAAAAGTTTTCAGCTTCCAGGTCTTTTCTTGCTGTGGAATCTGAGAAATGGGTGAAGAAGGAAATTTTTAAAAAGTGAAATTCTAAGTTGTAAAAGGAATGCATGAGAGCTGTCTGGGCGCCCCACAGGGCTCTATTACAGGCAGGAGGCATTGCTCTAGAGAGTTTAAGCCAGGGGAGGTTTCATGCAGGGAATTATAAAACATTTGGAAGCGCTGCAGGAGGGGGCACCGGGAACGAAGCCCCGGGACTGGCTTCACCATGGAGCTCCCTGGGCTGCCATGAGGAAGTAGGAAGTCAGGAGACCATCGTGAGAAGAGCCGGCGATCTCAGCTGTGCCCACATGAGAAAGACGCCAGGGACAGAACCAGCTGCCTGTTTTAGACACGGCTCAGCGAAATGTGCCACTCGCTCGGAGCCGGGGCTCTAAGCTGAGATCTGCTTGCACACGCCCAGCCCCTGCAGCTGGGATGCCCTTCACGTCACAACCAGTGAATGACCTTCCCCCCCAGCCCCCATGAGATGCAGAGCGCCCCTCAGCCTGCAGGGCGTCGACAGCCACAGTCACAGAAACTGAACATCTGCTTCCTTCCAGCACCCAAATATGCCCCAGGTTCATGGAATGTGGAACCCCCAGCACCCTGAACCCCAGCTGCCAGGAAGTCCTGGAAATGTCATTTTTCTGCTTTCTAGCCTCTGGAAATATTTCCACCTGTGGAAAGACAGGCCAAAACAATGCCTTTGAAATTTTTTCGACTTCCACCCACAGGAAACATAACTTTACCTTTGCAAAGAAGAAAAAAGATGTATACACACGCCCGGTGGAAGTAAAAAAATGAATGAAAAACACTATTTCTTAAGTTGAGCAATGTAGCTGGATATTTTCTAGCCCTACTGCTCTACCCCACCCCATTGAATCAATCTGGTCCTAATCCACTCTAGTCCACTCTATTAAAAAAAAAAAATCACACATTGTACAAAGTGAACAACAATGTAAGAAAATAAAAAAGTTCTATCCCCAAAAAATCACATTGTTGGTTACATTGCTAAAACTATGTTATCTTTTTTGCCTTTGAATTATTGATATTAAATTTGATATGGTAGTCAGAAAAACATGTGTATGCTACAGATCTTTACATTTTTCTTGGGATTATCTTTCTGGATTCTTTTATCATTCATATTTTTATTTTTTTAAAGATTTATCCATTCATACAAGAACTGGGGTACAGGCCAGATGCGTGGGAGGGCGAGAGGACTCACCAGAGAGGGAGTGGGGAACAGAACAGGCAGACTGACTGAAATACACTGCTGAGGGGAGCAGCGGGCGCGACAGGAGAGGTCTGCTGTGCCATGTGGGATTCTCACCAGCCAGTTGGGATCAAACCCAGGCTGCAGAGGCTGTGGACAACGTCACAGTGCGCTGCGCAACCACCTGCGCCACCAGGGAGGCCCCATTCATATTTTTAAATGTACAATGTGCTTTTGGACAAATGTTCATTTGTTGGGTGCAGAGTACTATAAATGCTAGTTAAATTGCTTAATTACATGGTTAAAAAAAACCTCACTGGCTAGGACGTAGCAAATTAAAAAGGAGGTTGGATCAGGGGTCACACTGGCCTGGAGATGGAGCAGTGTCAGCAGGCAGGTCAGAGATAAGGAAAGAAAGAGGGGCCCCCCGTAGGAGCCACTGCCAGGAGGATACGTATTTGTGCTGTTACCCCACTTAGGGTTTTCTTAAGAAACGCAGTAAAAATAAAATTGCCCTCCTTTTGGTTTATGTTCCTGCAAAGTGTTTAATTGAAGGCGGGACTCCGAGGAGCCACCTGACAAAGCTCCCTGTAGGTCACCTGAGCTCCAGGGGAAGAGCACGCAGGTGGGGTGCCATCCCAGGTCTTCCCCCGACCAGCCCACGCTTTACTGGACTACACCCAGGGCACATCCAGGTGACTGGGTTTGCAGAGGGATGGAGCAGAGACCCCAGCCCACTCCTTCCTCTCCTAGGCCCCAACTCAGGAATTTTTAGGCTGTGAGTCACCCCACAGAGGTGAGCTGGGCCAGCTCCAGCCACTTTCCCACCTACCCCCAGAGGTGCTGGTGCTCATGGCAGGGGGCGCACCCCCCCAAACACACACACAAAGCTGCTTGTTTGTTCAGTGGTGACTCATCTGCACATTTTTTTTAATTGCACAAGTGATACATGAGTCCTTCTCTTTAGAAGAGTTAGAGCGTCACCGATAATAATAGCCGGTGCTTGCCAGGCACTTATGAGGTGCTGGAGTGTGCACAGCAATGCTTAACAACTGCTCCTAAAAATAAACCCAAACACCCTCGTGTGTAGTGTCGGCTGATTTCCATGGTGTAAATCCTCCCACCAGGCAATGTCAAGCCACCCACGGATGTCACCGGATGGGGCTGTGAAGAGCGTGCACAACCGCTCGCTCTCATGGGCTGAAGGGGCTGCCTCAGCCCACCGTTAGATGCCCCCCAAACCCCACTAAAAGCTTTATGTGCGTCATCGTATTTAAACCTTATTTAAACCATCTCATGTAAGCCTCAAAGTATATGAGAGGATGTTATTGCTGAGGTGAAGAAACTGAAATTCAGAGAAGTGAAGTACTTTGCCCAAAGTCTCACAGTTCATAGAAACGCTGTAGAACCAGGATTGAAACCCAGGTCATGAGACACGAAGAGCTCACGGTCCTAACCGGCCTCTCCAGTAAGTGTCAAGTCCACCTGCATTCTGTTTTTGTTTTTCTTTATTCTTCATTTTCTTGAGGCAACATTCGTTTACAACACTGTATAGGCTCCGGAAGGACATTTTCTTACCAGATGGCCAGTCCGCCTCCACCCCCGGCCCCTGGGCCTCCTCTGCCTTCCCCTCCCCTCCCGGTGGCCCCCATTCTGTCACCAGAATCTAAGGGTTTGGTTTGTTCATTTGCTTTTGGGTGAAGTCCCCCTTGGCCAGCACCCTCTGTTTGCCTCCTCACCCCACAGACAGACCATTTCAGAGGTCGGCACCGTCCAGATATTTGTCTATGCAGGCATGTGCACACAGAATGCAGAAGTAGAAAAAATAGTGTGTTGAATTTTAAATGATACTTGCAATTCTGTAGCTTCTTTATTTTCCCAACCTATTTAGCAAGTGTACAAAAATGCATGAGAATGAAAACCCCCCAAGTCTCTAGCAGAACCTCCTTCCTGACATCAGCAGCAGCAGTCCCCTCCCAACCACCCCGCACTCTCCCACCCTCCCCCCACCACCCAGCACACCTCATGCCCACAGTTGCCCTCTGGCCCCAAATTCTGTGTCAGGCTGGAAGCGCTGACTGGGCTTTCCCAGGAAGATGGATGCCTCCCTCCCAAGAGGACCTGGCCTGGAGCCTGAGGCTGGGCCAGGTTTGGGACAAGTCCTTCTGAATCAGCAGCTCAGCTTGGCCAAATAACTTTTCCTGTTTGGTCCTCCTTCCAGGGCAGGAACAGCTTCTCACGTGGAAGGAGCTCGTGTCCAAGCGCCTGGCCTGACTGTGCTTGGTTAAGTTGGTCCCTTTCCCGTCTGAGCCTGTGTCTGCATCTAGACACACCTGAGGGTGGATGGTGCAGCAGGTATTTAATTACTGCTCTAAAAGTCATTTCCATCCTTCCTTGCTAATTGAACTCTAATTTTATTCAAGTATCTGGTGGCAGTAATTTATTTAGGAAAAGTAAGCCCCTCTCTCACTCCAAGAGTGGATTATGATTGGCTTAAAATAGAACTTCTCAACCCTAGCACTTAGTAGAATCTAGGATCCTTTTAAAAAATACTCAAGTTGTAATGATTCTGATTTAGTTGGACCAGAGTTGGATCCGGCCATTTGTGTCTTTTTTTAAAAAAAAAGATTTATTTATTTATGCATACAAGAACTGGGGTACAGGCCGGAGGTGTGGGGAGGGTGGTGGTGAGAGGATACACCAGAGACAGAATGGGGAACAGAATAGTCAGATCCTGAAACATAGTGCTGAGAAGAGGTCTGCTGCACCATGTGGGTAGCTCCCTGGCTGGGGATCGAACTCATGCTGCAGTGGCTGCGGATAGCTTCATAGGTTGTACCACCTTGCACCACCACTTGTAACCCCTTGCACCACCAGGGAGGTCCCATTTGTGTCTTTTAAAAGCTCCTCAGGTGATTCTAATATGCAGCCAGACTTGTTTGAGGACCCTGAGCCTAGGACAATGGAGGCCTCGCAATGGCAGACATTCATTTTCCCAGCCTCCTTTGCACCTAGGAGAGCCACGTGATGCCCTTCTGACCAATGGGGCTTTCAGATAGTCTCCTGGTTGCTGCCAGGAAATAATGTGCTGACAGATAAAGACATCTGTTGCGTCAAGCAACACCACACTGACAAAGACACGGGAGTCGTAGAGCAGGCTGCACAAGGCAGGATGCTGCTGAGAGCAAAATCCTGGCTGTCTTTATTGATAGAATAATCACAGAGCATCAGCTACGGGTGTCAGGAAGACAAGGGGAAAGATGGTGAAACTCAGGAGTGTCATCTAGGGCTTGAGGGGACACAAGTCTGCTGACCATGTTATCAGCTTGATGACCAAGTGTTGTAATCGAAACTACACCCCAGACCCCAGGCCACAGTCCTAATCTTATCAACAAGGCATTCCACTGATCAGCTTCTGGGGTCCCTTGTCATACATCGATCCTCGGCCCCCGGGGCGTTCCCGGACATACCTCCTGATGTATGAGTCGGGAGTAAGTTTGTGCATCTGTTCTCAGCCCCCCGGGCGTTCCCAATTATACCTCTTGATGCACACCCTTCCCAAAGTGAGCAAGCTTTCTGCTCTTGATTGATATGAAAGGCACCTGGTAAGGTTTGGCTCACATAAATGATTGACCCGTTCTGAAGGGCAGTTCTGACCTTGTGTAGGAATGCAGAACTGCAGGTAACCATAATGGTGGCTGAGCAGGCCACTTAAGTCTAGCAGCTGCACAGACATCAGTGAGGAAAACTTCTCCTTTGTCCCTTCATCTGGCCTTGAATGTGGTGAGATGCGCAAAATGGAGGCACAGCAGCCATTTTGTGATGAGACTAAGAGTGCAAAGGCAACACATGGAAGCTGACAGAGAAGGACAGAGAAGCCAGAGGCCAAGTGCCCTGGGGAGTGGCTGAGGTGACTCTCAAACAGCTAACAAGTAACAGCTCCCACCTGGGGAGACATCCAGGGGCCGACACTATCCATCATTTGCTGGCTGCTGTCATCAAGGAAAAGCATATTTCTGGGCATCTCTGATTCCATGCCCATTTGGAAGAATCGTACATCTGTTCTGCCTGGAGCCCAGATAGGAGGCAACTGGGGCTCCTTCCATCATGTCCAGGGTCACCTAGGGTGACAGTTGCTAGTCCTAGGAAAGGGAAGGGAGGCAGAGGCAGGGGCAGGAGATCAGGAAGAGAGGGAATTTGAGGTGAGCAAATCCTACTTGTGTGGTTGGTATTTACACGGAGACTTAGATGACAATTGCCAAGCTTGAGTCATGTGTACACTTTCAAATACTTCTTCGGCTCTGGGTGCCATTAACCCTGATAAATGTAACGTGCTCTTTATTATTGCATTATTTTCATTATTTCCTTTTTTCAGTACATTTAGCTTTGACTACATGTAGCCAAAATGGATTTCCATCAGTTATAAATACGTCATCGTCCACCCTCCACGACTGGTGAGGCTGGGCCCGGGGATGGCTGCCCTCTGCCATGGTCACAAGTGTACCAAAAAAAATTGAACATACATGAGGCATAAAAATAAAAATAATGACAAGTAAATCTACCAGGGTTCACACCTTTTTGTATGTATCACCTTCAGTTTCCTCATGGGTTAAGCAGGAATAATCACCCCTAGCCAGGGCTGTGGGAAACAGAATAACGAATGTGAAGGCCTCGCGTGGTATTGGGCTCAGAGTAGGGTGCTTTGCCATTGCACTTGCTGATGCCCCCAAGGGCACTGTAGGTCACTGTAGTGCCGCAGCTGTGCGCTGTCGCTGTCGTTGAGGAGGGAGAGGGATGTATTTACAACAGCTAATCAGGAATGCATTCACCCCTTGTCAGCGGCCAGCACAGACCTAAGCAATTTATATGGATTTTCCTCACATCACTCATGAAAACCTCCCCAGGACTCTGCGGTGACTTCTGTTATTATCGTTATTCCATTTCATGGATGGAAAATACTTTCCACCATATTTCCACATAGTCACAGAGCGCACAATAGATGAATCAGCAGTAATTTTGTACCATCTGCTGTGCGCAGGCATCGAGCAAGGCTCCCTGGGAAGCCACCTTGAAGCCTTTCCAGAAGCTCAGTGTGGCCTCACCTCCAGGGAGCTTCTTCCAGGGCAGAAACAAGTTCTTTCATTCACTCGGGACCATTATGCACCTTTTTAGGCAGACACAGGGCTATAGATTGCTAAATGGTGTGTGCGTGGGAGCAGCAGTATCTTAGAGATACGAGATGGCCTGTGGGAAGGCACCGACCACCCTTCAAGAAAGTGTAGCTCGGGCTTCGTGAGGAAGTGAAGAGGACTGGGGAAGGCAAGCAGGAGAGGGTGAAAAGCTGAACTGGAGACAGAAGTTTAAGAGGAGCCAGGAAACCCCCAGTCTAGATGGGCAAATGCCTCCTCTTCTCCCAGTGCTGGGCCTCAGGGCCCACCTTGTGAATGGGGAGCTAAGATTTCTGGCAGTGGAGGCCTCCCTGGTGGCGCAAGGGGTTAATAAGCACCGCACTATGAAGCAACCCGCAGCCTCTGCAGCACGAGTTCAATCCCCAGCCGGCCAGGGAGCAACCCACATGGCGCAGCAGACTTCTCCTGACTCGCCCACTGCTCCCCTCAGCAGTGTATTTCAGTAGATCCACCTGCTCTGCTCCCCACTGTCTCTGGTGAATCCTCTGACCCCCGCGCATCTCTGGCCTGTGCCCCAGTTCTTCATGCATAAATAAATAAATCTTAAATAATAATTAAAAAAAAGATTTCTGCCAGCGGAAACAGGTCGGTTTCCTGGATCCTGTCGAAGCCAGAGGGTCGCTGACTCCGCCCCCACCCCAGGTGCTGCCCGCGTCGACCCAGGAGAGCAGGGAGGGAGGGAGCGGAGGCCCGGGGCGGAGGCGCGAGCGGAGGCCAAGTGCCCCCGCTTCCTTTGGCACCCCGGCCTCCCCGGCCCCCAGAGTCCGGGCTGCGGCTCCCGGAGCGGGCGGGGAGGAGCTGGCGCTGGGCTGGGGCCACCGGAATCAGGCGAGCGGCATCGGCGGGGCAGGCGGAGGAGCGGCGCGCGGTGGGCGCGAAAGCAGAGCCAAGAGAGCAGCTCCGAGGTGGAGATGCCGCGCCACGCGCTGCGCCTCATTGGCTGGACTTTCGCTTCGGAGTCCAGAGCCTGCGGAGCTGGAGAGGGCGGGGGCAGCCGGCCCTGGAGGAGGCGGCTCCGGGGCTCCCAGTCCATTGTTGGGGTCCACTCTGCAGTCCAGACACGCCCGGGCCGCAAGCCCCACGCCGGGGGAGCCCGCTCCAACTCGGGCAGAGAGTCTTCTTGGCGATCAGGCAGCGCGCGCGGATCCCGGCTTCCTCCTCTGGGGGCCCCAGGGTCCCGCGCCCACCCCGTGAGAGCGCACAGAGCTGGAGAAACCTGTTCAGCTGGGGACTGCTGCGGCACCCGCGGCTTCCCGCGCCCAGAGCGCCCCCAGATCCCTTCGAAGTCGCCTGGGCAGCTGGGAGTCATTCTCCAACTCGCCGCTGCTTGGGCGCATGGAGAACCCCACCGAGCGCCCCGAGCAAGCGAACTCCTCGGACCTTGGCACGATGCCCCGGGCTCCGGTGGCAGTGCAAGCGGTGACCTTGACCCTGGTGCCCCTCGTGTGCGCCGTGGGTGTGGCCGGCAACGTCATGGTGGTCCTGGTGGTGGTCCGGGGCCGCCAAATGGTCACACCCACCAACTGTTACCTGGTGAGCCTGGCCGCCGCCGACCTGCTGGTGCTCCTGGCAGCCGGAGTGCCCACCGTGGCCGAGGCGGCGTCCACCCGGGTTTGGGTCTTCGGCCACGCAGGCTGCCTGGGCATCACCTACCTGCAGTACGTGGGCATTAATGCCTCCACAGGGTCCATCACCGCGTTCACGGTGGAGCGCTACCTCGCCATCTGCCGCCCTCTGCGCGCCCAGGCTCTGTGCACCGTGGCGCGCGCCAAGCGCATCGCGGCGCTGGTATGGGTGGGCACCGGTGCCTACTGCGCGCTGTGGCTCTTCCTGGTAGACACGCGCGAGCAGGCGTTCGCCGACGGGGTGCAAGTGCGGTGCGACTACCGCGTGTCGCGCTCTCTCTACCTGCCCGTCTACTTTCTGGACTTCACACTTTTCTATGCGCTGCCCTTGGGCCTCGCCACCGTGTTCTACTCCCTCATAGCGCGCGTCCTCTTCGTGGGGCCGCTGCCGCCTGGAGACCTGGGGCGCGCTGGCTCCGTGCACCAGGGAGGCCCCGCAGGCCAAGTGCGCGTCTCCTCCCGGAGCAAAAGAGGCGCCCTCAACTCCAGGAAGCAGGTAGGGACCTCCAGCCTCAGTGGGACCCCAGTTTTGAGCCAGCAGATGGATGGACGCTGGGCCCTTCTTGAGTCAAACCCCTTAAGTTCATATCCTTGTTGTGCCATTGCCTGGGCTTGTGTTGGGAGATATCACTTGCTGAGCCTCAGTTTCCTCTTCTGGTATTGGGTGATGACAGTGCCCACCACACTGCAGAAGTGAGATTAACCAAGGGTCTAGCCCACTGCATGCGGCAAGCTAAATGTGCAGTAATGTTCGTTAATCGTCCGCAGGGAGGAGCTGCCCAGGAGCCGGCATTCTCTTTCCTTTTTTTTTTTTTTTTTTTATAGGGCATGTTTTTATTTATTTATTTGTTTGTTTGTTTGTTTGTTTATACAAGCACTGGGTACAGTCAGAAGCGCGGGAGGGTGAGAGGATTCACCAGAGCCAGAGCGGGGAGCAGAGCAGGCAGAAGGACCGAAGTACACTGCTGAGGGGAGCAGCGGGCGGCAGGAGAGGTCTGCTCGCCATGTGGGACCCTCCTCCGGTGGCCAGGGAGCAGCCGGGGATCAAACCGGCACTGCAGAGGCTGTGGGCAGCTTCGCAACCCAGTGCTCAACCACTGCGCCAACCGGGAGGCCCCATTCTCTTTCTTTTCCCAGGGAAATAGGGGTTCAGAAAGGTGAAGTGATTTCCCCAAGCCCATGTCACTCCATCTGACACTGAAGCTGCCTCAGTGGACCGAGAACCAGGGAGCCTAGGGGGGCGATGGGTTGTGGGGAGGTTGGGAGAGACCCAGATTCACTGAGCACTTACTGTGTCCCTGATTCTGTGACTGGTCCTGATATTATTTTTATGGATAAGGAAACATATTCAGAAGGGTCAAGGGAATGTTCAAGATGACAATTAGGGCTGGAACCCAAGTGTGTACCTGTGTCCTACACACACACACACACACCCCATGCAGGGTGGCCTTCCTAGGTTTTCCAGGAACACAGCTAGGGGGAGCCCTTTCTCTGGACCCAACTGGTCTTTATCCTCAGCCTCTGGCCCCAGCCCTTAGCTTGTGGAGGAGGAAGGCAGACACCTCGCCCTGCTGAATCACTCCTGACCCAGGCTGGAGCCATCTGTGCCGTCTCCCTGGGTGGGTACACTGTTGGGGGGCTCGCCCGGCACCTCAAACAGCCCCCCTGGTTCATCCTGCTGGCAAGCACAAGATAGTTTTATAGGGGTGGAGGCAGGGTACAGGCTGAGCAGGTCTGAAATCTTCACCTCTGGCTATTGGCCCATCACCACCTCCGGCTCCAGACAATAGCTCATTCTCCCCCCATCATCTGCTTACTGTTCCCTGTACCTTCTGGCTCAGCCTAGAAGGGCTGAGATCAAGTCCCACCCTGACCTAGGCTTTGGGTAGCTTGAATGTTTAGCCTTGGGACTGTCTTGCTGGTAACTGACTGGCTTGGGGTAACTCACTTCACCTCCCTGAGCCTTAATTTCCTCCCCTATAAAAGAAGAGTCATGACAAGACCCTTCTACTTCAGCGGATGGTGGTGAATGTTAGGCATCTGGCATAAGGTGAATGTTCCATCTAGGGTGCCTATTATGAGTGTTTTGTTGGAGCATTAATGTCTTTTTTGGCAGTGGAGAGCTGATGACCTGAGCTCCCTTTCATGCCCCAGAGCGCCCTTACAGAATGCAATGTACAGTTGCCATGGAAAGAGGCATTAAATTGAAGCAGGACATCAAGGAATACGAGGTGGAGAATAGTGATAGTGACCCTAGTCATAACCATGGCTAGCATTCACTGGGCATTTGCTACACGCCAGGCATACCTTACAGAGTTAGTGTATTGAACTTTTATAGCAACCCTATAATTCCTTTCCTTGAGGTTATCAACTCAGTTTGACAGGTGGTAAACCTTCATCAAAGGGGCTTTCCAAGGTTTCGGTGCTTGTAAGCCCTGGGCAGCCTGGCCCCAGGGACCACACACTGCTGTTCAGTCATTATCACCCAGATGAGCCTAAAATGGAATGAATTGAATCCAAATTTGGTAAAATCAGACTGACTAGGGCACTCCTGAGGCTTCATGGCTTCTGGGCTCAAGTTTGTTGACTTAGGGCCGGGCCTCTTTGGAGCGATCACTCTGAGGAACTGAATTCATGGACTCTGAGATGCCATCCCGTTCTCCATGAGAAAGTTGTGTCATGTTTCTTGGAGCTGATTGAGCGTATCCAAGGTTTTCTGGGCAGAGCCAATGCCAGGGCCCTTTGAGCAACATCAGCTCTAGTAAGAACCTCTGGCCTGGGTCTGGAAGGGGCAGTGGGCTCCTGCAGTAGCAGCAAGTCTGGGGGGTGCGCTCTGCTCCCCATTGTAGCAGATGCCCCCTGAGGGTTTCTCATTCCAGAATTTAGAATCAATGGTCTTTTGAAACACCTTCTAGCAGGTACCACCTCTAGGAAACTTTGTTTAAACTCTGCTTTCAGGGGACACCCTGGTGGTGCAGTGGTTTGGGACGCAGCCTATGAAGCTATCCACAGCCACTGCAGCACAAGTTCAATCCCCGGCCAGCCAGGGAGCTACCCACATGGCGCAGCAGACCTCTCCTGACTCGCTCGCTGCGCTGCTCCCCTCAGCAGTGTATTTCAGTAGATCTGCCTGTGTCTGCTCCCAACTCTGTCTCTGGTGAATCCTCTCACCCCCCACACCTCTGGCCTGAACCCAGTTCTTGTGTGCATAAATAAATAAATCTGTAAAAAAAAAAAAATAAAGTCTGCTTTCAGGAAAGTGCTGGCTGAGATCTGAAAAGTTAGGAAGGTCTGGGAGGAGGAAAGGCAGACAAGGGCCAGTGCAGAAGGAGCATCAGGAGAGAGGGAATGGAGAGAACAGAAGTCCCAGAGGGAGGTGTGGCTGCGAGTATCCAGAGAGGACGCTACAGTCTGAGAGGCATGTCCGCGGCTAAACAGCTGGTTCGCAGTGGAACCAGGGTTCCGACCGGACTCTGCCCAACTGGGAACCGCATGCAACTGTACTAGAAGCAGCAGCAAAGGCTGTGACAGCAGTGGTAGCAGCAGCTACCGCCTACATCACATTCTGTGCCTGCAACTCTTCTGCCTCCCTTCCCTGCATTAACTCCTGTCATTCTCACGCCCACTGTGGTGAGGCTGTCTGTCTCCATCACACAGAGAGCCCGGGGCTCAGTGCATCAGTGAATATGATCCCAGTGAGTTCTGAACCATCCAAGGGCTTTTGAGGTAGAGTGGAGCAGGGAAGCTTTCCTAGCAAAAATGAGCCGGACATGGAAGGATGCACAGCAGTTTTTTACCTGGGGATGGAGTTGGCAGGGAGGGCTCGTGTGAGGGCACAGCTTGGCAAGGGCCCGGGTGCTCTTTGGCTCTTTCCTTACAAGTTCAGAGAGACCCAGGGCTCAGGTGTCTCCCGTGGCACCCATGTGTTCCTTTTTTCCTTTCTCACCTGGCAGGTCACCAAGATGCTGGCCGTGGTGGTGGTCCTTTTCGCTCTGCTGTGGCTGCCCTACCGCACCCTGGTGGTGGTGAATTCCTTCCTGAACCCTCCCTATCTTGACCTCGGCTTCCTTCTCTTCTGCCGCCTCTGCATCTACCTGAACAGCGCAGCCAACCCCATCATTTATGCCCTCATGTCCCAGCGCTTCCGGGAGGCCTTCCGCGGGCTCGTTCAGTGCTGGCTGGCCTGGGCCAAGCGCCTGCCCCAGGAGGGCACTCCTGTGCACTGCAGTATCGTCAGAGACTATTCCCTGCATGGGGTGGGCTCTTGGAAGGAGGCAGGGAGCATGATGTCCAGTCAGGGAGGAGATCCTGGCATCTCAGAACCAGGATCTTCAGATGTCAGCACACCACCTTATCCCTACTGAGTGCAGGGTAGGCATGGCTGTCAGAGGGGGCTGGAGTGGCGTCCAGGCTGCTCAGCAGATGTGCACAGGTTCTGCGCTGTCCACCCTTATGGGGTCACGTTCACATCACACCTAGCCGAGATTTGTATGCTTAATTTAAAAAAAAAACCTTCAGTTGAATAAATACACAAATCTAAGGGGCACCTTTTAAAAATTTACAAAAATGTGCTCTATGGACTAGTGGCAGCTGGGTGCGTCAGCGTTCTCAAAAAGTTGCCAGGGGTCCCCTGGAAATCTCTTGGCCCTTTCCTGGGAATTTTGGGGGTCTTTGCCCTGACAAACTGCCTCCCTCTGGTGAACCTGCTGGCTCCTTATCCAGTGGTGATAATGAGGCTTCCCCAGCCTCACTGGACAGCTAGATTTGTGGGGCAAATCTCTCTGCCCAGAGCAGAGGGTAAGGCCAGCTGGGTTGAGGAACAAACATATCCTGCAAAAGTAGCACCTTAAATTTTTTTTTATGTGTAGCCATGACCTTTTAGACTATGGTGAAGAGATGTGTGCATTAGTCAGGATGGGCTAGGTTTGGGTGCCACAACAAGTGACCCCAAGCATTACTGATTTAACGCTGGCTCATCCAAAGTCACCTTTCAAGGCCAGCTTTCTTCCATCTTGTCACCACTTCATCTTGTGCGCCAGCTTCTCAGCATGGGCTGCCATGTCCCTTGCAGCAGAGGGAAAATGCTGCAGTCAGCAAGGGACACAGGTCACTGTTGCTCACAACCATAGCTCGGCAGCCTCATTGCAAGGGGACAGAGGATCTGAGAACCCAAAGGTAAGGAGAGCTGGGTCCGGGTGAGCACTCCCACGCTCTCCGCACCCTGAATGCAAGACCAGAGCGCAGAGGTCGACTAGGAGACTTCTATTTGGCCCCTCCAATCAGTGGGGCAGCAGGCCCTGCCCCCTAAGCCACTCCCCAAGGCTACTGTCTCGCTGTAATCAAGGTGGATAGCTAGACGAGGGGTTTTGTTGCTTTCCTGAAGCTGCTCAACTCCTCAGAAACCTTTCAAAGGACCTGAGACTCCCCACAGAAAGGTGGGAGCTGTCCAGCTGAGCTGAGTTCTGAATCTCCGCCCAGGAGTGCGATGGGGCGCCTGCGGATGAGAGCATTGTGCTTTGCGAGACTGTGTCAGCTTCTGCCTTCCCAGGTTTGACACCACAAGAGAGACAAGATCAAGAGAATTTCAGGGTGAACCTAGTAGAATAAGCAGCATGAGATTTAAAAAAAAAGTTACTTGGAGCTTGAGGCATAGGTATGACTTCCAGCTCTGCCATTAACCCCCACGTGATCATGGACATATCGGCCAAGTTCTCTTGGCCTCAGTTTCCTCGTCTAGAAATCAATAATTAGACCTAGATTTTCCAGCTCTGTTGTTCTGTGACTCAGGCTATTGGTTTTGGGGGTCTGTGACTCCCTTGCAGATGTCAAAGACCCAAATGCTTAGCGTAACAGTTAACCCTGTGGGGGTTAACCTCTATGGAGGACTCCCCAGCCTTTCTCTAGGATTTCCTGGGGTTGTCCCTGAGCCCCTTCACTCCTGCCTAGTGCCTGCTCTGTGTCCCCGCTAATGTGCCCACCATGTGGCCATGGTAATGAAGAGAGCACCGGCTTTTCCAGAGCCCCCACACTGAAAGAGCAGCCTTCAGAAGGCCTGTCCTTACTCCCCCATGCCCCCTGGTGAATTCATTCTCCCCCACACTGTCTTTAGTGACCCTGGAGGGCTGAACCCAGAGCCCAGGTGTTCAGGGTGGAGCAGAAGATGTGGTTATGAAGATGTTTTCCACATCTTCCCAGCCTTGGCACCATTTTTGAAGTCTGTCCCTCATAGTCAAGAGGTTCTCATGCTTTATTTCCATCAGGAGGAAAAAAAGGGACTTTTTTTTTTTGTTCCATCAAAAACAGGCTGGATTCCCAGGTGTTTCTGGAGAGGCAACAGAGACAGCAGCCCTTGTCCCTCCACCTGGGTGAGGAGTAAAGGCCAGATGCCTCTCTGAGGTTTCAACAATCCCTCCTAGTCTCTCAATTCATTCTGCTCCCCTGATAAGGAACTGCTTACACACAGCCTAAAATAAAAATCTCCTTAAAAATATCTTCAACAGGGCCTCCCCGGTGGCGCAGCGGTTGAGCGCTGGGTTGCAAAGCTGCCCGCAGCCTCTGCAGCGCCGGTTCGATCCCCGGTTGCTCCCCGGCCACCAGAGGAGGGTCCCACATGGCGCGCAGACCTGTCCTGCCGCCCGCTGCTCCCCTCAGCAGTGGACCTCGGTCCTTCTGCCTGCTCTGCTCCCCGCTCTGGCTCTGGTGAATTCTCTCACCCTCCCGCGCTTCTGACTGTACCCAGTGCTTGTATAAATAAATAAAAATAAATCTTTAAAAATATATATATATATCTTCAACAAAGCCACCTATTCTTTCCTGCACGTCAGTCCTCACAATTTGGAACTCTAGCCGTTTGTGATTATCGGTCTGTTATGATCTTCTCACCAGGTTCTGATGAAGATTCCATGAAGGCAGGGAGCATTTTCCCTGCTGTTTCTCAGAGTGTAGAACAGGGCCGGGCACATAACAGTTACCCAAAAGATTAGGTAGGAGAATACATGAGTGGATAATGAATAAAGGCTTTAATCATAAAAATCAAGACCCTTGGCTGAGATCTGGCTTCCATTTTGAGCAAGATTTGAGATGTAGGTCGTGATTTGTTAGGGTTCTTAGTCGGCAACTGTAGGGTCAGGAATGGACCACAGTGCAGGTTTTCTGATCCAGCAGACCGGGTAGAGGAGGAGTCAGAGAGTCCTGGAGCCCACGGTGGTTTTTTTTGCAGGCTTTTATTGGGATTTGCCTGGTACACAGCAGGCAAGGATGCTGGTGGGCCGGGAGGCTGGCAGGTCTCCCAGCTCCCAGCAAGTCTTCACTTTATCTGGGCTCTCCGGCCTTCTCTGCTTCTCTCTCGGCTTCTGCTGCTTCTTTCTCGGCTTCTCTTTCGGCTTCTCTGCTTCTGTTCATTCTTGGCTTCTTCTGGTGTCCCCGCGACGCCGCCCTTATAAACTCAGGTGTATCCACTCCAGGTGCCCGCCATCAGGCATGCATTCAGGACCACAGGGTTCCTCATCTATCCTAATGGCGGGAGGGCAGAAAAGCCTGACATTTTTTCCCTATCCTACAGCAACAGAAATCCTCTCTGGCAGGCTGAGATGGGCTAGAGTTGGAAAGAAGCAGAGGCAGGGGAACTGCAGGGGTGCACGTGGCAAAAATGCATGGGACCCATGTCAGAAAGGGGCGGTTCCACGTAGGCCAGGTGTAGGGCGGGCAGCTCATTAAACCATCATTACCACTGGAGAGGTTGCATTGCTTAATTCGGTGGGTACCTCTCAGCAGTCAAAATGGGGGATCCTCTGGAGTTGGGCAGCGCTCAGCCCATGTGGGGGTATGTGGCCAACATAATGGGAGTGAATAGTTTCTCAAAGGAAAACAGAAGTGCTTGTTATCAGAAAAAGGCAGTATGGACGGCCAGGGGCCAAACCCCAAAATAATCAAAGACAAAAGAGGTGCCACCATGAAGAGCTGCTCAGGTAGACGGTAGCAGTAGAACTGGCATTTGCTGTATGAAGATCTTGGCCTGGGGACCGGAGTGGGGGGGTCTCGGCAAGGCCTTCTTGGTTTGTAGACCCTGAGACCTCCTGAAGGTCAACAAAGGTCGACCTGTGGTCATCGTGGCCCGTGTGAATGCTGCCACCTCGTGGTCAGGACAGAAATCGCGCCATCCCACAGCAGGCCGGTCTGCCTTTTTAGGTTATGGTCTTCTTTCTCCTCGGCCTCCCACGCGCCTCCGCGTCCACACACCTTCCTCCGGCTGTGTGTCAGGCCCTGACCTAGACACAGCTGCGAAGGGTTATTTTAATGTAATTAAGGGCCCACGAGATGACCTGGCGATCGGAGATCACCCAGTGGGCTTGGCCTATTTGCACTAGCGGTCTAGCAGAGCTTTCTCCAGCGGTCACGAGAGAGAAGCCTGAAGCCTGTCCCCGAGGGTCCTGAGAAAGGACACCCCAGAGGGGGCACGTAGCAAGGGCCAGTTGACATCAGTGAGCAGGTATTGGAAAGTGGGGAGCCAGCCCTGCACCCTTGAGGAAATGAATTCTGCACAGTGAGCTTGAAAGATTAAGCGGAATGTTCCAGCTGGCAGGTATAGTTATGCACCTGTGCATTTAGCAATGCTCTCTTTCTCCCTGTGGGCTTGTGAGGGCCTTCCGCTGCCTTAAAAAAATAGTCTATACTTTTTATCTCTACTTCTAGTATATTCTCAATCATAATCACTAGCATCCACTTCAGTCCACAGAGGATTCAAAGTCACTGTATCTTATCAACTGTGGCTTTTGATCCCCACTCTCTTCCTGTCCTGTGAGCTCCAGGAGTGAATGGCCACCTGCCAGCTGGGCATCTCTTTTGTGAATCCCACTGGGTTTATATTCGCAATGGAATTTTGGCTAAAAGAATGAGGAGATAATTAGGCTTTGCTACTATTAATGTATAATCAACACAGCATCCTAAATATTCTCGCATTCGCTTCCCAGGGGCCCTTCCTTTTTGGTTTCTTTTCCTAATCTGAGCGTGTGGTACTGGCATCTACCCAGCTTATTAGACAAAATAATGTGGCCGTCACACCTCACACAGCACCACCAGCTCACGGCCAACTCTTCTAGCTGCTCATCATATAGGGTTGATTCCCTCCCCACTGGTGCTACCTACAGCCATGGCTCAGTGATGGCTAATTTTCTTCTCTTTTTATTTGACATTTAAGTCCTTTCCCATTTTTCTAGGACTGGGGACAACAAACAGTTCCTTAAAATGGCCAGATAATAACCACTTTGGCTTTGCTGGCCGGAGAGCCTCTGTCAGATCTACTCAACACAGCTGTTGTAGTGTGAAAACTGTGTCGATCATGTGCAAACACAAGGGCCAACTTGGGGTCTCTGGGGGTGGATTTGCCCACAGGCTGGAGCTTGCCAAGCTCTATGGCAAGAGTTTCTAAAACCTGGTTTCTAAAAACACAAATTGGATCCCAAAACTCCAGCTGGCTAACAAACATTCATGGATTCCAATCATGCACAGCAGTGGTCCCCAAAGTGGAGAACAGGGGCCTCCCTGGTGGTGCAGGGATTGAAGACACAGCGCTATCGAGCTATCAGCAGCCACGCAACATGATTTCAATCCCCAGTCAGGGAGGGAGTTAACTCACATGGTGCAGCAGACCTCTCCTGTCTCGCCCGCTGCTCCCCTCAGCAGTGTATTTCAGTAGATCTTCCTTTTCTTCTCCCCACACTGTCTCTGGTGAATCCTGTCACCAACCCACACTTCTGGCCTGCACCCCAGTTCTTGTATGCATAAATAAATCTTTAAAAATAAAGTGGAGACCAGGGAGCTCCCTGCGGATCCACAGGGCATATATTCACACTGGCATTTTGGCTGAAAGAATGAGAAAATAATTAAGCTTTCTTGCTATTAATATATAGTTTAAAGTAACTGAGTTTCTAAGTAAACATACATGATAGTTGTATGTGCAAGTTTGTTTTACCATCTAAAAATGTAAAGACTCATCAAAATAAAGGCTTCTTTTTCTCTGCCCCCTGTCCAACCCTCATTACCCTTTTATATCGAGGCATTGTAGTTTTCTGAATTCCCCACGCATGTTTTAGGCCCTCATATATGTCTTAATGCTCATATTCCTACAAAAACACACTGTGTTTTAGGAATAAAATTGTTACCCCCTCAAAGAATTCTAATAACACAAAAACTTTCCTTTTGGGATCCCTCTTCACCTTGTGTATGTGCTCTTTACTGACGATATTATTTCTTGGTCTGCCACCCTGTCATTGGGGAGCATGTATTTAATGTGAGCTAGTAATCTGAAAAATTAGCATAATCCCAGGAAACTGGTACAAACTCTAACTTTTTAAATTTTCTGAAAAGAACACAGTGCTGGGCTGTTTCTAATCTCTTACCCTCCCATAAATAGATCTCTTTATATTGCTCCATTAGGCACAACAGTCCTAAAGACACTTGTTAGATCATGCCCATCCCCCCTGACTGGTCAGGGGTAACTTGCACAGATGATTATGGGAACACTAAAGTACAATTAGAATTCTGGTAAGAGCCCCAAATGTATTAGACATGATACACCACTAGCATCAACTTGAATACTTAGCATTTATTCACTATAACAATTAGGAAAGCAACTTTATTAAATAAACTGAAATGATAAGCAAAAGATCAGCTGTTCGGAATCCAGGCTCCAGAATTATTACAATTCACCCATCTCCTTGGTTCTTGAGACAGTCGAGCAAAGGTGCTAACCCTTCAGGGAATTAGCCATTCAAGGAGCAAGGAGACTAAATGTCATGTCCAGTTACACAAGGCAACAACAGCAACTGTCTTCTCTCCCACCGGCTCATGACCTTTGACTTTCTTGTGCCCACTCTCTTAACTCTTTATCTTTTCATTTGATTCATGATCCACTTTGGGTTTTGCACTGTCCACTGGCAGAGAATGATCAGAGAGAGGAAGTGAAATGGCTTTTCTTTTTCTTACTTACGCTTCAATTGAGGTTGCATCCTCTTCCTGCAGAAGCTCACAGCTTTTGAGTGCTGCCTCTACTAAAATATGATTTTATTCACCCAGTAAAAATACATTATGAACAAATAGCAGAATGAATATGTTCTTCTGCATGACAGCTGCCTAGCTGCCTCTTAGCATACTTTCCACCATTCGAGCTGCCTTATCTAATGTCAGGTTTTGGCACTTAGACATGTTTAGCCACTTGGCCTCAAAGATGCAATTCAAGCTGTACAGAGCGCATTTCTGATCAGATCTCCGTGTTTCCTCAACATTTGTATTTCTAGTTCTAAAACATTCCATGAATTCATGCAAAAGAACGGGCTTGACTAAAAACTCGCCCACCTTGATCTCTGTGGTTTAAATGTCCAGTTTCCAGTAAAAAGCATCTTCCAAATATTTAGGGTTTATCATGAGTTTTCTGATGTCGAGACAGTTTTGAATTTAGGCTAAAAGCTTTTCCACATTGATTACATACAAAGGATTTCTCCCCTGTATGAATTTTCTTGTGTTTATTAAGATTTGAAACATGGTTAAAAAGTTTTCCGCATACATTACATTTATAGGGTTTCTCTTCAGTATGAATTTTCTTATGCCGATTAAGGTCTGAGCAATAACGGAAGGTCTTTTCACATTCATTACATTTGAAGGGCTTCTCTTCAGAATGAATTTTCTGATGTTTAGCAACATTTGAACGATAGCTAAAGGCTTTTCCACAAACATTGCATGCGTAGGGTTTCTCTCCTGTGTGAGATCTTTGATGGTAAATTAGATCTGAGAAGCGGACGAAGGTCTTTTTACAGTCAGTGCATAGGAAACATTTCTCTCCAGTATGTTTCTGTTGATGACGAGTCAGATCTATAAGCTGGGTGAAGGTCTTCTTACATTTATCACATGAAAAAGGCTTTTCTCCAATATGAATTTTCTGATGTTTATTAAGATTTGAAATGGTTTTAAAGGATTTTTCACAATCATTACATTTGTAGGGTCTCTCTCCAGTGTGAACTCTTTGATGCAGGATAAATTTCGAGAACGGACTGATGTTCTTTTTGCAGTATTTACATGTATAGTATTTCTTTCGAACATGAATTTTTTGGTGTTGAATTTTTTTGGAGAAACTGCAAAAGGCCCTTCCACAAAATTGACAGGCAAAGAGCTTCTTTTGAGTGTGAAATTTTTTAGACTGAGTCAAGTTGGCTCTGTTGCTGGCATGCAACCTCTGATGTGTAGTCAAGGATGAGAGAAACCTAAAGGTCTTCCGACACACATCACATCTGTACGGCTTCAGGGCGCTGTGCCTGGTCTGATGCTCAACAAGCTTTGAAGCTCTGTTAAAGGTGATGCCACACTGGTGACATTCAAAGAGTCTGTCTAGAACATGCATTCTTTGGAGTGTCGCAAATGAGGAACAGTGCCTAAAAACCTCTGCATTTTCATGATATTGGGGGGGTTGCTCTACCTTGTGAATCCTCTGATGTCCAGTGAGTTGTGAGATATGGCTAAAAACCATACTGCAGTCATCACATTCATAGCGCTGGGTTAAAGTACAAAGTCCCCGATATTTAGCATGGTGAGAAATCTGTCTGAGACTATTTGCAGATTCATTAAGGGGGTGATAATTTGCCAGTGCTGGCTGACATGCTAGTAGGAAGAGAAGAAAAAGTAGATGGTTAGAGCATGCACAGCAACAAACAGCAAGCTAATTAGTAAGTGGTTGGGGAGAAAAGCGTTCAGATACTGAAGTTTTGAGAGAGGTGGGGTGAAAAGTAAGAGTTTTTGGGGCTAGGAGAGAGAGAGAGAGTACTCTCCCAGTACAGGAGTAATTCATGTGATCAACATGTGGCCAATGAAAATTTTCTTTAAACTTGAAATGCTTATATTTGTGACTGTGAAAAAAATCTTGTTGAAATTTTAATTACCTAAATAGAAAATTTTAAAGCACTTAAAAAGAATCATATGGGGGCCTCCCTGGTGGTGCAAGGGGTTGAGCACGGCACTATGAAGCAATCCACAGACTCTGCAGCATGAGTTTGATCCCCAGCCGGCCAGAGAGAAACCCACATAGCACAGACCTCTCCTGTCTCGCCTGCTGCTCCCCTCAGCAGTGTATCTCAGTCAGTCTGCCTGTTCTGTTCCCTGCTCTGTCTCTGGGGAACCCTCTCACCCCCCCGCATCTCTGGCCTCTACCCCAGCTCTTGTATGCATAAATAAATAAATCTTTAAAAAGAAAATCACATGGAATTCCAAGCAGGGAGTCACGTTTTCTTTTCATTAAGGGCCTTTAAAATCTCTCTCTATATATAAACATAGCGATTGGTGATTATACTTTTTCCTTTTTTTTTTTTTTTAATAGAGGCATGTTTTATTTATTTGTTTGTTTGTTTGTTTGTTTGTTTGTTTTTTGTTTATACAAGCACTGGGTACAGTCAGAAGCGTGGGAGGGTGAGAGAATTCACCAGAGCCAGAGCGGGGAGCAGAGCAGGCAGAAGGACCTAAGTACACTGCTGAGGGGAGCAGCGGGCGGCAGGAGAGGTCTGCGCGCCATGTGGGACCCTCCTCTGGTGGCCGAGGAGCAGCTGGGGATCGAACCGGCACCGCAGAGGCTGTGGGCAGCATCGCAACCCAGCGCTCAACCTCTGCGCCACCGGGGAGGCCCCATACTTTTTCCTTTTAACAACAAAATTGGAGATCTTTAGTAATTATAAATCTGGTTTGTCAATTTTACTGACATTGAATCTACATGATAGAGTATTTACTGAATGGTGGCCCCATTCTTGATTGGGCTACTGCTCTATTTGGATATCTGAGTTGTATTTAGTCTTGTTATTGCTATGAACACTAACAATAATCTTATATATGTGTGTATATCTTTGTTAATTTGTTGAAATATAGTTGGTGAGGAATGAGAGTCCTTAAATATACACACACTACACTCAAGTATGTCCTTATATGAACATCATGATTTTCTAGTATCTTGATAACCCTAGAGTCTAGCCTAGACTATCAAACTTCTGACTTCACATTTTGATAAAAAGTTCTAAATAAAATCTAAATAGAAATTAGTTAACTGCTAAGAAAAAAATTGACCATACAAAATATTATAGATAAGCTAATAAGTACCCAAAAAATCTACCATTGGCAAGATGGAGAACTAGCATCAGTTTGTTACTTTCCTTAATTCTAGACCTTGGGATGCTACTCTAGTGATTAGAAAGTGGATTAAAATATCCATGAATAATATTTTCTAAACATTCAACATAAGACAGAATCAAGTGGTAATAAAAAAGGAACAAAATAGAAATAATAGGTTTGAGTCTATGTTTAAATAAATTTGGTCATTAACATTTGTTGAAGGAAGAGCAGAGGTATTTTGTTACTTAAAGGGCTGGCATGAAAGTAGCTAAAATAGCGATGTAACCTGTTAAAGACAGATGGGATATGAAGAATTATGGGAAGAATTGCATAAAAACAACAAAAAGTTTGTTTTAAAAATGGAGATTTCAGGGGAGATGGCTCACCAAGAAAAATTGTTAGAATAACACCTGGTATAATTAATGTAGCAGGAGATTTTTCCTTTTTTCCAGAGATTTGGGAGATGAATTAATGACCTGTAGCTAAAAAGTGAGGAAAAAAGCTAAAGGAAATATAAGCCCCAGGAAGAATTATAAGTCGCCCAACCTGCCTCAAATGAGAATAACAGTAGCCTTATAAAGTCAGTCATAATTGTGTAGACACTGAAAACCAATTTAATAAGAAGTGATCATATAGCATATTGGGGGATGGAAAAGGGGTATGAGTGTAATGAGGGAGTCAATATCTAAAATAGCAAAGTCAGGAAAAAGTAGTAAAAATATTTTATTTTAAAAAAACAGAGATAGGGTCTCCCTGGTGGTGCAGTGGGTCGAGTGAAGCTGTCCACAGCCTCTGTGGTGCAGGTTCAATTCCCGGCCAGCCAGGGAGCTACCCACATGGTGCAGCAGACCTCTCCTGTCTCGCCCGCTGCTCCCCTCAGCAGTGCTTTCGGTCATCTGCCTATTCTGCTCCCCGCTCCATCTCTGGGGAATTCTCTCACCCTCCCTCGACTCTGGCCTATACCCCAGCTCTTCTATAAATAAAAATAAATCTTTTTAAAATTTTTTTAAAAAACAGATAATCCCCAGCTATTTCTTAATAAGGTGTTTGTCAATTACCTGGGCATGGAGTACTTGTTCCCTCGCTCACCATCATCCAGGGATAGTTCTTTTCCTTCAAAGATGAGATAACTTTTGCCTTAAAAGTCCATTGTCCTGCATATAGGAAAATAAAATGATCTTTTCAATGCTTTACCTATCAGAATTTAAATCTAATCTTTTGATCATAAGCCAGGTGACTTCTGGGTTCAGTTTGCTTTAGTTATTCCAGGGCAATTTATAACACTCCCTTTCATGTTCAGCCCCCACCTAAGCGATGTATGGACAGTAGGTAAGGAAAGCAGGATCACGCAGGAAGCCTGGGGGCAGTATTCTCTCATACAACTGCCCACAAATCATCTGTTTTTTAAAAATAGTTCTCCAGCAAATTTGGGGGGCCACAGTAGCCAGAGGATTCTCATATCTGAGAAAGGTGTGAAATCTGAGAAGATGTGGGTACATGAAGTTGAGTGTCGGAGATGGCTGTCCCCATGTTCCCCTGCAGAAAGGCCCATGGCTTACACAGGAAATCAGAAGTTAGGTGAGAATTTCAGGAGTTCTGGGCACATCAAAATAGGCAGCTTATCCACCAGCAGGAAAATACATTCTTACCCAAAGTCATCATATGTTTGTAGTTGTCCAATATCACCTTCTTGTACAGATTTTTTTGATCAACAGCTAGGGATTCCCACTGCTCCTGAGACAAGTCGACGAACACATCTCCAAGTGTCACTGACCCCTGAAATTAACAAGTACCTTGATTTTCCAATTGCCTGTACAGCCGAGTAGCCCTAGAGAGGTTGGGCTTAGTCACTTGAATTATGCCAAATGGGAACTTGAGTGTGAGAATAAATTTGGTAGCAAGTTTGAGAACAAACACAAAGTGTCAGTATCAGGAATGAAATAGTGACTAACCACTGCAGACTCCCCACACATCAGAAGGAGGAGGGATTCTATGAATAACCCTACACACACACATTTGACAACTTAGATGAAACGATTCCTCAAAAAGCACAAGCACAGTAAGAAATAGGTAGGTTGAAGGGCCCAATAACTGGTAAGCAAATTGAACTCATGGACAATCCACCAAAAGCAAGGTGATTGCAAAACCTGGAGACGTTTGCATAGGGTAAAGCCAAAATTAATCAGAATATATACACAGATAACCAAGAAAAGGACAGGCTTAAAAAAAGTAAAAAATCTTTTAAAAGGAGAAACTATTCACCAAATGAATGGGATTCGTGAACAATTCATTTTTAAAATGCAGACAAGTGGCTAATAAAGGTGACAGACCCAAAGGAATCAGGTAAATACAATTATTTTTAAATAATAATGAGCTGAGACTAATCAAATTCACAGCTTTGTATCCATGGAGAACAACAAAGTCACATCACCTAAACATAGATAATATGTACTGTTGTCAGGCTGTAGAACCCAAGAATTCTCCAAGACTGGAAATGAGTTTTAAAACTGGCCTATGTTTTTCAAAGTAGAGCTTGGTAAGACCTCTGAAAGCAGTACTAGTGCATATCTTGAACTAAGTAGTAATATTTGCACACACACAACACTTAGAGTAGACTACAATAGATTACAACAGTAAAGTATTGCACACACTAATCATTTAAGGAATCGTTTAACTATGGAATAATCACACTGTAGAATTGCATGTGGATATTGTAAGAATTAGAGATCTCTACGGACAGCCACAGAAATATCTCTAGAACACTTTGAAGTTCAAAAACAATATTTACAGGTTATCACATAGATGATTCCCTTTATCTATAAATACCTGAAAATGTACTAATTCTATGCATAGATATATATATACGCAGATGTAGTAACTAAAAGTGCAGTTTATGAAACTCAGAATAAGATAGGTTTAGAAATTAAGAATTTTACTTTTATTCTGAAATTTTTCATTAATGCGAGAAATTTATTATTTCTTACAATTTTTAGAGGAAAAAGAGATGTGTGATATCCCAGAATCATTTAGCTTTGTGTGTCAAGATTGAATCTAATAACCACTGCATTGTATTCTCAAGTGTCACATGTATTAGATTCAAGAAAATCACTTACACATTCTAAGGAATATTTTGATCAAATTAAGTGTGATTTAATGTGACCCTTTCTTCTATATGTGGGTGTTCTGTTTGTTTCCGATCTTTACTGTCAGGCATTGACTAAACTCTGTCCTCTTGTTAAATACAACTTTCATTATTTGCCCAATCTTTTTGTCTGCATTGATTTGTTTCTGAACTTTCACTGTTGCTGTGCTTACCTCTCTACATAAAGACTAATTTCACATTCCTTCGCTGCTGTACCCTGGTGGCATGCATAGGATAATTAGCCCTACATGTAATCCCTGCATTTCTTTTCTTATCCTGTTGTGTCCTGGTATTATTGCATTCTCATCACATCACTCCACACTGACCATTTGTTATTCTCCAGATAGTCAGGAAGTTTCAGAGCAACAGATGCAACCTCTGGCCTGAGAATTTGCAACTCTAATAAGTTCTAACAATTCTAACAAGCTCCCTGATGATGCTGCTGGTGCAGGAGCCACACATTGAACCTTACAAAGCAGAACAAAGCAGGCACCTGAATCACCTGGAGAACTTGTTAAGACCCAAGAGCAGCAGGGGACACCTCCGGAGTATCTGATTCAGTAGGGTGGGAGGGGCCCAAGAATTTGCAATTCTAACAAGTTCCCAGGGGAGACTGACCTTTCTGACCAGCACTTGCTGTCCACCTCCACCCCCAGCTCAGATGGCTCGACTGCACTGCACAGCCAAAGTCTTAATAAACTTCCTCCCTGCTCTTGGAGGTACATCTTCTGGAACCTCTTGGTCAGTACCTCCTTGAGTGATTTGTTGAATGAATCTGTGAATACTTCGAGAGGAAAGGCAGAGAAGAGAACTTGTTTGCTGACTAGTTTCATCTGAATACAGACTGGCAAGGAAGCAAATGTGTAAGGAACAGACTATCAGCATTTCCGAAAAAGAGACAAGTTAACTCACCTGGACCATCACTTGGGACATGATTTTTAAAAATGAAAGAGCCATTTTATCCTCCACTCTTCTCAGTTCCCCCCGGAGGAGAGTGGGTCTCTGAGAAAAAACACGTCGGAACTGGAAAGAAAATCGGGAGAGGCCAGGACTCCCACACCCTTTTCCGGACACACAGAAGGGAAGCAGACTGAGCAACAGCCTCCCCAGCCTGCGCCTCTGGTTCCCCTCTTCACCCGATCCTTGCAATTACACCACTGGGCTGCTGCTGCCAGAATTTGGGGTAGAGCACATGACCCCAACGATTTAGCGTCTGAAACTTCTCAGCCAATAGGCAGCCAATAGGCTGGGAGCAAACTCCCCTTCTCAGAGATGGAAATGCACCAAGTCCAGCAGCCCCAGCCCAGGCCAGAGCCTGCTTATCTGGAGTCAGATAAACAGGCCCAGGCTCTTCTGGTTTCTCAATCAGGATCAGTCACCTGCCTCCCTGTATCCCAACCCTCCTGGCCCTGGTGTGAAGGGGAATGTGAGGACAGTGATTCTCAAATGTAAGCATGTCCCCTAATCACTTGGAGGGCTTAATACAGCAGCGATACCCCCAGACTTTTTGATTCAGTAGGTCAGGTGCAGGGTCCACGTGTCCAGAGTGCTAGAACGTTTCCAGGTGAGGCCAGTTGTGCTGCTTGAGGACTGCACTTTGAAAGCCAGTGGATTAAGGAATAAACAAGGATTAGGCTGAAAATTTAGGAGTATTCTTTCATCACACCTGCTATGTGACTCACTTGTGATGTTAATAAGACACACATCCGGTGGGGCTTGTAACCAGTTTTCCACTGGAATTGTTACAGAGCAGCCCTGATATAAAAACAGGTTGCCTGACTGTGGGTCCTCACCTGCGTGCTTAAAAGGGACTTATTAATACTCCACTATAGGCACACACAAAAGATTAATAAAAGGTTTATTTACAAGGGAAAGGGAAATGAGGAAATGTACAACTCAGGGAGAAAATAGGGATTTAATGCGTCCTACCCGATCTGCTGACCTGAAAACCCAAAGGCACTATGAGAGCTGGCCCAGAGCGCTGCGAGGTGGCAGAGAGCCAAAAAAAAGGAACACCCCCCCCCCCCCACCAAAAGCCCACGTGTCTGGTTTTTATACAAAACCTGGCTGCTTAACCCCACCCTCAGGTCCCAGCAACCTTCCCTTTGGTGGTGATGGGATTTGTCTCTCCCAATGTCCTGATGGCTTTGGTCTGAAGTGGGGGTGGAGTCCACAAAGCCTGTATGGAATTAGCTTTAGGACATCCTTTTACCCCTAACAGAATCAGTGAGAGGAAGGGTCTCCTTTGGTGATGTTCCTGATCCCCACAAGGGAGCTGCAGCGGAGGAGAGACTACTTGGCACCAACAGTCATGGAGATGGCACAAACAGCAGCTCCTTCCACCATAATTTCAGGGAGAGGAGGGAGCAGCAAAGTTGATTGTGATGGAAGGGTCGGAGCCTGAGTGGTCTGGGTAAGAATGAGGTGGATATAGATGGATGACTGGGCCAGAAGCCATAGAAAGGGTGTCAGACCCAAACAATCACTTGTATCCAAAGACCAGGCAAGCAAGTGACACCAGCAATAAATGCAGCAAACAGACGTCAGAAGCAAAGACCAAGCAGGACTAGATGATCTTGGCACAGGTAAGCAATAAACAGTAGGTGGTGCTGGATTGAAATTTTTGAGTTACCTAAATCTTGTTCTTGGTTTAAAGTAGCAATAAAATTAGGGTAGAATGAGTAAGTAGCTTGTCTAGGATAATATATATGGTCTAGGGTCATATATATAGACAAAAACTAGAAATTGAGAGAATACCGGTGTTTTTAGATGAGTAGATGAAGTTCTAGAAAAGCATCAGTTACCAAAACTGACAACAGAAGAAATAGAAATTCTTCATAGTTAGCTAATTATTTAAAATTTTTTTTGAAATTGAATGCATAATTTAAAATTTAGGGACCCATATATTATTACTGGTTAATCCTATTAAATGTATAAAGAAAATTAAATCAATCTTATAGAAATTGTTCTAGACAATATAAAAAGAGGGACTATACCCCAATTAATTTTATTGGCCAGCATAAGCTTGATATAAAAATCAAATAACGATATTTCATATTCTTAAGAATGAAACATTCTTTTTTTTTTTTTTTTTTTTATAGAGGCATGTTCCTTATTTATTTTATTTGTTTGTTTATTTTGTTTATACATGCACTGGGTACAGTCAGAAGCGCGGGAGGGTGAGAGAATTCACCAGAGCCAGAGCGGGGAGCAGAGCAGGCAGAAGGACAAAAGTACACTGCTCAGGGGAGCAGCGGGCAGCAGGAGAGGTCTGCGTGCCATGTGGGACCCTCCTCCAGTGGCTGGGGAGCAGCCGGGGATCGAACCGGTGCCGCAGAGGCTGCGGGCAGCTTCCCAACCCAGCGCTCAACCGCTGCGCCACCAGGGGAGGCCCCAAGAATGAAACATTCTTGATAAAAGTGAATCTCATTCACGAACAAGAGTTCTAAACAAAACATTAGCAAATAAAATTGAGCAACATTTTTACCAGTCTTGAGATATAATTGACATATAGCACTGCATAAATTTAAGGTGTACAGCAGAATGACTTGACATTCCTATACTGTGAAATGATTACCACAATTAGTTTAGTTAACATCCATCATCTCATATAGATACAAAAAAAGGCAATATTTTTTAAAAGTAAGATCTCATCACCAAGTTGGATTTAGTCCAGGAATGCAGTTTAACTCTATAAAATTAACCAGTGAAGTGAGTATTAGCAAATAAAGGTCATATTACTAAGTTAGAAAATGGATCTGATAAACTTTAGATTCTACTTAGGAACAGAAAGAAATTTCCTAAATATGATTGACAAGGAAATCTATAAAAATCTAAAGCAAGTGTGCTAATGTTTCCAATTTGGTGCAAATTTCAATATAAGACAAGTCTTCCAAGGTTTCCAAAAATTGTAAGGAACCACATAACACGCAAACAGCAAGGAACTCTAGTTGCGAACTGTGCTTATAGTATTGAAATTTAATTATATCTCTTTAGCAGACAGATTAAAATTTATACATTTAACTCTCAAGCCCAGGGTTGTTAGTGCCCTCAAATGAACACACTGTTACTCATGCTTTAGAATATTATGAATGATTTTATAACTTGGGCAGTTATATTAACATTCACTGTTGTTAACATTTTAAATCTTTTAATTAATACACTAGTCTTATCCAAATATTCATTAAATGATAGCACTCTTAAGGGCTTTCAAAATTTGTGAAAACCAATTACTTTCAAGTGGAAATTGATGTTATAATACAGTACCAAGCTCCAGAATGCACCGTGCAGTTAATTTAATGAGAACACTCAATTCAGCATCAGAACACCGAGAGGGGCTCAAAGACAGCATGAGAAATTTCCACAATGAGTGCAAATTTGTACTCCCTGAGACTATTCCTCCCTATTCTTCGTCTATTCTTGTGGGGATAGTTGTATTGAATGATGCAGATTCTGAATTTTTCCAGGTCTGTGTAAACAAAATTCTTGCATACCCTGCTCTATTATTATGTATGAGAGCAATTTTTAATTTTTTGGTTCAAATTTTGGCTTTTACATTTGTTTTCAAGCCCTTAGGGAACATGTCTGATTTTTAAAAATAGATCAATCCCTACTATTCCTGTTTTATAATTGTTAATGGTTATCTAATTCCCCACCTTGTGGCATCCTATAAGCTATTGCTGTTTTCCTTACATTTAGATTTTTGACAATGTGTTGCTATTAACATAAACTGTAAGCGAAGTACTTACACTTGTATCTTAGGACAATTATTTGCTTAGATCATATTTCTAAGAATATAATTGCTACATTAAAGTGCATGTTCTGTTTAAATCTTGGTACAGAGTGGCCTCCAAATTGTTTTACAAATTATATTTCAAACAGAAATTTATGGGAATGAGCATTTCCCCAAACTTATGCCCATCCTGGCTATCATTTTTCTTTATAATCTTTGCTAACTGTAAAGGCCAAAAAATGTATTTAAACATTTGCATATTTTATTTGTAGTTTATGGACTGCTTTCACATATTTATTGCTCATTTGCATTTTCCTTTTTATTACTTTCCCCCTCATATCCATAAATCATTTTTATGGTGGTATGATGCTCTTATAAATGTGAAAGAGATAATTAAATGAAGTCAATAAACCATTTCTTTCACATGCTTAACCCATATATTTTCCAAGTGTGTTTTCACTTGATTTTTCTTTTGAAACTAAGATCTGAATTTTTTACAATAAAATTCGGCAGTCATTTCTTTCATGGTTTGACCAGAGATTAAATAAGAAAATTATTTTCTATTTTCTCTAGACACTTGATGGTTTACTGTTAAAATGTTAATCGCCCCTTCCCACAATGCCTTACTTGGAAATCCCTCCTTGATCGTACTGTGAATTCTTAAGAACCCCTGGATTTGGCCTGTTCTCCTAAGATTCTAGAAGCAATCTTTTGAACACTATATTAACATCATACATATTCATGTCTGGTAGGAAACAATTTAAATTTTTTTTAAGTCTTGGCTGTTATCCTTAGCTTTTTGTTTTGTTTTGTTTTGTTTTCCAGGTGAAATTTAGAGGCATTCCGTTAAGTAAAATAAAAGAGAAAGAGAAAAATCATGCAACGTATTGCGATTTTGATTAGAATTTTGCTGGAGTGTTGAGCTCCCCACCCCCCAAAGCAGGGTGTCTCCACTCTTCCCTGTACACAGTAGCTTGCAATAGTTTCTTTTGTGTAAGTTCTGCCAATTTCTCGTTAAGGCAGTTCTAGACACTGTCAGCTACCATGAATGGAACTTATTTCCCATGACTGTCATTGGCATTTTAAAAAAAAATAAAATGACCTTCACATCATCTTAACCATGAGATCAAAGTTAACAATGCCAAAAATGGGACAAACTGACATCATTGTATAAAACTGACCTGAGATGAATAAGACATCCTTTATGTAGGATTCCCGCCCCAAAATGTATAATTTGAATCTAATTGTAAGGAAGCAAGCAGACAAATCCAAATGAAGACCCATTCTTGCAGTTAGTCTTTCCTCTTCCAAACTACTAATGTCCATGAAAGGTGAAAAAAAGTCTGTGAAACTAAATTACAGGAATCTAAATGATAGGATCAGCCGATATAAGCAATGACCCTGAATTGGATCCTGGCTCAGGGAAAAAAAAAAAAAAAAAGTCCCAAAATATTTGGGGGACAATGGTAAAAAGTGTTCTACATACTAGATGATAACATTATACCCGATTTCAGTTTCTTCAGTTAGATATTTGCATGTCGGTAAC